CTGCAGTGTCATAGCTCACCCCGCACACACCAACAAGCTCTTGTGTTCAGGAAAAGTCAGTGTTGAGTATTCGTGGGGTGGGGGAGAGGAACTGGATGAGGTGGGAGTCTCTGGCCTTTAATGAAGACCTGAATTTGTTTTCTGTTTTTTCTGTTTCCCCCTTTTCTCTTGTAGCAACAACTACGTATGCGGATCAAGTTGACATATAATCACAAGGGCTCAGCAATGCAGGATCTAGCAGAAGTCAACAACTTCCCCCCTCAGTCTTGGCAATGAGTCTCTGGCACCGTTCTTATTCTCATCCCACCCAATCAAAAGAACTCTGGGAAGAAGGTTGTGATCCTTGGCAATCCCCCAGACTGCACCATGGGCATGGGGAACAAAAGAGACCTGCTGATGAGGAGGAATTTTCCTGAAGTGATTGCTGACTTTGAAGCATATCTGTTAAGATTAATCTCCTCTCCTCTGCTGATGAGGCTGGTGGCTTGTGGAGGCTACTGTGCACTCCCTCACACATGCATTCACAGCCAGAAGCAACATTCCCTTCTCCCCTTCCCCACCCTCCTTCCCTCTCAAAAAGGAACACAGCCTGGTTGGAAGAGAAGTCTGGAATTTCTAGCAGGGAAACTTTCTTCTCTCTGCAGCAAGTGAGCAGTTGCTCCTTCTTTCTGCTGTCTTTTTTTCCCTGGGGTGGGTAAGGCGTGTTGTCATTCATTTCTAGCTGGATTCCTTCACGCATTTTCATCTGGGACTCAGATGGGGTCTTGGGGAATGCCAGGCTGCCCTTCGTCTTTCTTCTTGTATCCCCTAGGTCTTAAGGGGCTGGAGGCTTCTTATGACCTACTCAGTGCATTATTGTATACACGCACTTCTTAGTTATGTGCTGCATACCAAGAGCAAGTGAGGCCTTTGGAGTTCATCTGCAAACCTGGAACACAGTGCAGGAGAAGAGGTGCTGGTAAGAGTTGGTAAAATTGCTTCGGTGCTGTACTTGAAAATGAAGCCCTTACACCTGAATTTTCTTTCCTTCCATCAGTAGGCACAGCCATGCAGATTCAGAGTCTTCTGTAGCTTCCCCAGAAAGTGAAGTGATTTAGGAGAGATGTAGAGATAAAAGGAGCAGCTGGTTTTCTACCACATACGGTTTCAAAGTCTTTCAACCTGTTAGTTGTGGTTTATGGGTAGAAAAGACACATTCAATTTTCTAGATCAGTTTTTGGGCAAGGGCTTTGCTCCTGCTGGGAGACTCATCAGAGACTATGCTGCAAAGTTGCTCTTCCTGGTTATTCCAGAACTTCTCCCCAATTTTATTTCCAGAGCCTGTTGTAGACTCCCCTGGGTTCCATTTGAGTTACTTCTGACTGGGATATTTGTGTTGTATCTGTAATATTGGCACTGAAATAAAGACCATGCAGTTTAAAGAGACCTTTTCCCATTTTTTTTACTTAGTTGATCCTTGCTCCCCTTTCAGAATGAATGTGCCAGTTCACATTCAGACTGAAAGTAACTAAGCTGTGTTTTGAACGGAAGCCAGTTGTTTGAGTATTTGGATCCAAAGATGCAAGATCTGGTTGGTACCCCTCTGAGCTCACAGAAAGCTGTGTTCAGGGATGTCCCTGCAGGAACTCCTGGGAGGTGGTGCAGTTCTTGGCAGTCTCTAGGAGGTGATATGTAAGACAGACAAAAGCACAGTGTGACAAACTCCAGATGTTCAGTGCTCTTTAGGATATATCTTCGGTCTTCATTTTCGAGTGTGCTGGTAAGCTGAAGGTTGGGCACTTCTGCTTCCTTTCTGTTTTAGGGCTTTCTAAATCATTGAGTGCTGTGAGCACAAGTTTAGACATAGCTTCTTGTGTCCACAGAAGTGCTAACACTGGGCTCCAGAACTTGCCAAAAATATTGCAAGAGTGATCCACAGTGTACTTAGGGAAAACTGAAGACCTGTTCTGCCCTTGAATTGGGAGCAGGAGGCCACTGAGTGTCGTTCAGTCTGGTCTGGTCTTGACTGCATTAAGCAATATAATGTAGGACTGACACTAATTTAAGTGCTGGTCTATGTGTAGTGGAGTAAATTTATCTTCTCTTGAAGGGTATTTTTGCTACCTTACTGATTGAACTGGTTTGGGTCTTTGGATTAGCAAAGAGCTTTTTTTTTTTCCTGGAACTGGCATCAGTAGGGTTATAAAATCTAGAAGAACAATGTATGATTTCCTTAAAATTAACTTTGGGTTGTGGTAGGGTCATGCCTTGGCTATCACTGGAGAGATCTATCCTGTGCTTAGCTGGAAGCATCATGAAACAGTTTTGCAGGAAATGGCTGAATCAGGGTCCATTTCTGGTGCTGAGCATTTAGCTTAATCGTTTTCACTGCAGTTGTGGTTATTCATTGCCCCACTAACTCAAACTCAGTGTTGAAGACTGAGTGTGTTAAATCCATACCCCAGTGAGCTCTGAGAGCGTCCCAGATAAAAAGCTAATGGGAAGTCTTTGCCTTGGTTCCTGAACTCCTCATAAGCTCTACCATTCTCTTCACAGAGTTGTACATGATCACTCGTACTGAAAGCCAGCATGCCTCAGTCTCCCTTTGGTTTTGCTGGGAAAGAGCACTGGTACAGGAAATTAGATGGGAAGGAAGAAGAAAATGGTCTCTCACCTGGCCAGTTTGTTGCAGCAGAGTTGGGAACAGTGTATGTTGTCCCTCTTGTCATGCTTGCGTTCTGTCCCTTAGAGCAGCTGTCTGTCTCTGGTAAGCTTGTGGGGTGAATTCTTTCTGTGTTCTTGGCTCCTTCAGCCACCCTTGCACTGTGTCTGTGGGGAAATGGGCATTTTGTCCTGTATTTGAGTTGAGCTGGAGGAGGCGAGTGTGTACCCAAAATACACTTCGCAGGAAGCCGTCCCTTGGCTATGAAGTACTCCTGTGTAGCAGCCAAACATTCCAGTTGTCCTTGGAGCTCTCCCCTCCTCACTAAGGGATGGATGCTGACATTACACAAGAAGGAAGGCCAGGCTTCACACCTTCCCCTATCTGCAATGCCAGATAATGCTGCTTACTCCTTGACCCCCACGTGCATTCCGAGCTCTGTGCTGCTGCTGTGGTTTTCCTCTGGAGAGTACTCGCACGTCTGAGGCACTCCAAGCACACGCTGAGTCCTCTTCCCGCGGTTGAATGCAACAATTACGGGTCTGGTCAACGTTTTCCTCGCTTCAGTGTAAGGGGAATATAAGGGCAGCAAGATACGGACTTCATGGCTAATCTTACTGGTATCTGCATGGGAGGCTTTGGAACTGGGAGACACTGGATGTCTTTCTCCAAGTGAATGTATTTTCAGTCGAAAAAGGACAGAAACAATAGTGGCCATAATGGGCCTGAAGGGGGAGAAGACATGGAAAGGTCCTAAGAGTCGACTTTGTCCAGGTCTTGATGGCACAAAATATGGCCTTGAACAACTTATTGAAGCAATAGCAGTGAGGGGACTGTCTTTACAGTACCTTGGATCTAAAACTCAGAAGATACTGAAGCAGCTGGGAAAGGTACCAGTGCCTTGCCTGAGGCTGGTACTAGCTGTGAGCTGCAGCAGCAGTGACGCTGGTGCAATTTTATGTGTTCATTTTCTACTTGGAGGCTGTGAGGGAAGGAGCTGCTGGACTGCTTCCCTTTTAACTTTCTCTCTACTCCTGTATATTCCTTTTTCTTTCATGATGTTGTAATTTAAATTTTACACAGAGCCCCATCCCACCTCTTTGACAGTATAGAGGAAAAAAAAGGCAAACAAAAAACTACTAAAATACAACCCCCCAACAAACCCATCAAATTTAAAGTGAGAAACATGCCATTTGAGGCAGGGCACCTGTTGGCACTTGAAATTCTGGAGACCTATTTTTGAGGTGTGAAAAATTTAGGTAAATGCTGAGTCATAGGTGAGTGAGGAGCTTAACAGATGTAAACATTTACATGGGATGCATTAGACTTCTGCTGTGTGTATTGTCTTTTGGTTGAAACAAATTATGAAGTGACTAATAAAATGAGTCAATATTTAATGATTTAAAATTGCCTTGTTGCTTTCTACCAATACAGTGGGATAGAATATTTTGATTCTTAATGTTTGGCCATGGCAACATCAGATGACGCAAAATAGTAAGGCCATGTTTTGAAAAAACTTTACAGGAAATTTTGGAGATCGAGATGGGTGGACAGTTGCAAAACACTTGAGCAATTCCTGCGGAATACCAGCCTGAGAGACAGCATGTTAGTTACGAGCAGCGATGCTTGTCCAGATGCTAGAAAGGTGTGGTGGGATCTGAACACAAGGAATGTGTTTGGAGCCTGCTCTGGGAGCCCGTTAAAAGACCCCTTTCATACTCCATGTGGCTCTTGGATAAGGATTGTCACCATATCTCTGTCCCCACGTGTGCCTGCTTTGTGTTTTCTAGTCACAGTCACATTTCACTAGATGACCTTTCATGTCTTTTCAAACCTGTAATTCCACTGTGGGGAAGGTGGGAGGCTTTTTTAAAATGTTCTTGATCTTGTTGAGGCAGAAGCAGTGGCTGCCCTAAAACATACTCAAATTCTTGCAATCTGTCATGATTATGTCATTTGTAGATTATGACGTCTCTAGTAGTTGTTGACATTATTAGTAGCAGCCACTAGTTAAGACTGGCAGAGCTTACGTGATGGACCTGAGGGCAGCAGGAGCGCGTCGTGCTGCTGAGCAGCGTCCCTCCAGCCGCGGGGCGCTGACGGTGACCGGCGCTGGAGCTCCGTGAAGGGCGAGCGGTGACAGGTGCGTGTGCTGCGTTGCGGTGAGCTGTGCCTTTTCCCCGCTCGCACTGGGCACCTCTCGCTGGTGGAAGACACGGACGCAGGCGGGCACGGAGCTCGGGGTGCCCGTCCCGGAGCGGCTGCGCCGCCCGCCGGTGCGGCCGCCCGGGGCGGGGCCTGGGCCGGACGGCCCGTGCGCTTCCGGGGCGGCGCCGCGGAGGCCCGGCTGTGGGTCCGGCCGGCCATGGGGGAGGCCGGCCCGGCCGCGGGGCCGGCTGCGGGGCTGGGGCCCAGGGAGGCGCAGGAACCCGAGGAGGACGAGGCGGCGGCGCCGGGCGGCACACGGGGATGCCGGGCCGGATCCCGCGGCGGCATCCGGGTGCTGAAGGTGAGGAGGGGACCGAGGCCTCCGCCGCTCCGGGCGACTCGGTGGGGTGGAGGGGAGTCGGCTGCGGGACGCCGGAGACATTTGCCCGCCGCGACCTTGGTCTTTCCCATGGCTGCTGCCGGTGCGGAGCGGGCCGGTGCGGGGCCGGGCCGGAGCGCGGCCGCAGGCGCTGCTGACGCTCGGTCTGGGCTGCCTTGCAGAGGAACGCGAAACGCACCGGGAGCAGGAGCTGCCAGAGCAGGAGTCGGGTCGGCTCCCGTGAGAGGACCTGGCTGAAAGGGGACGTCGGACGAGGCTGCGTGTATGTTTATGGAAGAGACTCAGCAACTGCGGCTCCCTCGGACTTGCGACTGGTCCTCTGTACAGTGGACACCCAAGCCTCGGAGATCTGTGACGGAGAAGGGAGGAAAAACCTCTTTTTGCAGCTTCATGGAGACCTGGTCAGGTGAGGGCCGAGAAAGGATAAACCTGACTGCGAAATGTTTTGTATAGGTCTGCGAGGCTCTTGTTCACCGTGTCCCTATGCCTGTTGGCAGAGCAGGTAGGGAACAGGCAGAGGTAGTAACTGGCAGTCAGGTACAGCCTTGAGTCATGCACTTCATAAAAATTAGATAGTGGTGAAATAGAGGTTACACACCTCATAGTTATGTGTTTTAACAGGGAGGGTTTGACTGTTGCTCCAGCCAGAAATATGTCTTCATTTTCTGAGTAGAGACACCGGTTTATATATTCCTTTGTTATGTTCTGTGTTCTGGAGGTTTTAGCCTCTGGACAACCTAATCTATTTAAGAGGCTGTAAACGGTTACTTAGACTCAGCAAAAAAAAGCAAGGTGCTTTCACAATTATGTCATTTAATATTTACATCTGAGTAATTTTTTTCGCTGAGAAGAGTTGCCAGCTAAATAATTAAAGGCAGACAGAAATTGTAACAAGGGTTATATAAAGAAGGCTTAAGCATCAGATGCTGTGTTTTATGCTAAAAGTCAGTTTAGGCTGAAAATAGATGGCTCAGGGTTTAATGTGCGTGAACTTTATGCTGTGTGTTATCGACTCCTCTAGGTTTAGAAGCTCCCATTCAGTTTGTTGGGATTTAAACTTTGCACTGATTCTTCTGGACTTAAGATTCAGTTATACAAAATTGCTGCTCCTGTCCTCAGGAGCAAATAATTGCTGTGGTCTCCTTACTTAAAGGCTAAGCAGTAGATACAATGCATTTTGAACAGAGCTAGTAGCTGGATTTTTGATGTGAAATGAAGGTTTCAGGTTGAATGTGTCCAGCTCTTAAAACTCTCTTGTATGTTTGCTCTGTAATGGGGTGGGAACACTGGTGGTGGGAGATGCAGAGAGAACAGGACTTGTTTAAAACTGACTGTTGGAAAAGGTTGATTAGAACCATTTGCCATACCCTGGTTAGGGTTACAGGAATTAGGGATGGATTAGTTAGAAATGCTGTATGAGAGCAGATGGACACTTGAACACTGCCACTGAGGCAGCTGGGAACCTCTGTTTGTTGCTTGAAAATTTTGTAAGGAAGTTGCCATGTTGTGGACCTTAAAAGCAAGCAGATTTTTCAGCATTTTTAAGGAAGAGCAGAGCCTTTCATGCAGATAATGAAAAAGCTTAGGTAAAGATTGTAGATGTGTTCTGAGAGATACATTTTGACTTTATTTAACTTTTGAAGTGGCTTTTGCATTTGAATTCTTTTCAACTTCTCTTTTCTCATGCTAGCTGGCTGTGCCTGTCTTTGATTTGTAGCAGATTTTGCACCGGGTGAGCAAATTGGCAGCAAATTGCTGCCAGCCTTTTGGAAGCAAGTACTGAGCTCTAAATTATTACTTCCCACTCCTTTTACCTCTTGGTATGTCTAGGACTTGGCTAAGATTTGTCATAAATTTTGTAAAGGGTTCTTAGTAATGATATGTCTATTCCTTGTAATTCTCAATAGGTGTTTGTCACAGGAGAGATCCTTGAAATACTTCCCACTGGAGTGGTTCTTGGTAGGGAAGCGGGAGCTACCAGTATTGCTTCAGTAACCCCTGTGTTAGTAGCAGGAAGCAGACCTGAGTGGTATCTACTTGCATGTCCACAGGAAGATGACAGAGTGCTCAAGATTATCCTCATGCCCTGTTGAGATAATTCCTTCCTCAAACAAACTTTACCAATTACTTTAATAACATGTTCATTATACAAATTGCTTTGTTAAATATCTGATCACATCTTACCATAACTACGTGCGTCTCCCAGACAGCTTCTGAATTCCTTGCCCTTTTAATATCAGCAGGTGACTTTCTTTCCAGAGCATTGCAGATGTTGGTTTCGCACCTGACTTGGAAGACTGAAAGCTGTATGGAAGAATAGCAGAAGCTCTTTTATGTATTGTCTAAATATTCAGCAATGTCCTTGTGATCATTCTGTTTCCTTTTCAATTCTGTGAGTTCAAGTCAGTTTCTGGAAGAACTTTTTCACAATGCACCTCAAGGATCTTGAGCTTTCTCCTAGCCAGAATCTTTTCTTATGCTTGTATCCATTCATATCCGGACATTGTCTTCCTGCAGGGATACCTTCTTTGCTCTGGATACCACTCGCAACAAAAATTTAAGCTTCCAAGATTCGAAAACTTGACCCTTACTTATGGAGAGCTACAGTTGCAACAGGAATGAAACTGAGACTGTTGCTCCTTCTTTTTGGCTTTTCTGTCTCCTTAAGCCTTGGCACCTGTTCTCCTGAGAGCTGCTGTGAGCAGATGAAGCGTTCAGTCCCTGATGTGTGAGGCTGCTGAGGATGTCATGGGCTGTTTGTGCCAGATGGCAGCTGCTGTGACAGCCACGTGTTCTCGCATGTGCCGGTGTTCAGAGCTTGTTGTGTTGGGTACAGGATGAGTTTGTGCAGTTCTAATGTGAGCTGATGCCAGTTTCACACCACATTGCTTGCTCTTCAACTATCAGCTACATTGCCTTTTTAGGCTATAAACTTTGTTTGAGAGTAATCCTTCTTCTGATCCAGAGGTCCTGTGTGTGAAGTGAGAGTTGCAATATATCTGCTTGAAATACCTGAGTCATTTTACTTCTTGAGATGTATCTTGGTGACTCCAAAGGAAGCCTGGATGACTAGCTACTTGTAAATGGTACATGTTTTATGAAATCAGTCCTGCCTTAATTATTTGATGACATTTGTAAAGCTGTCAGTAATAGTGGAAATACTCTGATATAGTAATTAAAAGCAATCAGAAATGTTCTTATTCTTAAGAAGATATGAGAAGAAGTGAAAAGATTTGGTACATACAGCAATGAAATGTTTCCCATTAAGACACACAGTATAAATAATGTACGCAAGTCAACAAAGTTTAGTGGAAAACAGGTCCTGCCTAGCAAATTCTATCTTGATGCTTCAAAATTTCGAGCTTGGTTGCCAAAGGTATTAGTCATTCATTGCAGTGACATGTTGGACTGGGCTCTGAGCAGCCTGTTCAAGTCGAAGATGTCCCTGTCCATGGTGGGATGGTTTGAGTAGATGACCTCTAAAGGCCCTTCCTACCCAAAATGCCTGAGGTTCTGTGTTCTGATGTCATGGGGAGAAAAGCAATGCACAAACCAGTAAAACTTACTGGCTAATATCTTACAGACTGGAACCTGTTATTCAGTGTAAACATCTTGTTTTGGGTGAGGAGCTGTTTGAAGGAAGAAATGCAAACTTGCATTATTCAGTTTGCCCTGTTAATAACCTGTGGCTAAAAGGTATGAGCTCCGGAGGGCATGAATGGAGGGAGTGGTGGGTACTGAGAAATCAGTGCAGCAGGTTGCTCTAGACAGTTTAGCATGCAGTATTTCCTGGAAAACACTGCTTTTCAGTATCAGTAGGTAGATTTATGTAAAAGACAAGTGTACTAAATACTGCAAAGGAGAGGAAGGAGGCTATAAGTTGCCGAAAGATCCGGTTCAGGAGGACTTGAGTATTGGAGGGATATGAGTCTAGAGCAGGTTTGATCCAAGAACAGAAAAGTGTTTGGGCTGAACTAAAGTGTACGTGTGGTTTTGTGAAGTCAGTGCATGGACACAGGGAACAATCATGTTAGTGCTCACAGAGTTGGGATAAACTAAAAAAAAAAATTGGTGGTAAAAGTCCTTTTGAATAAAAGTAGACCCATTCTACTGCAAGAATAGTTTTAAAAGTACCTTGCGCCTTATATTGAAGAGAAAGTTTGAAATGTTTTGTGACATGGTTTATAAACTCCTGTTTGAAAAAGAGGAGACCATTGAGATCCAGTGACTGTAATCTGAAGGTAGGCACGTTTAGATTAAAAATGGGGATTTTTAATGTTGGATAATGAGTAGACTATTGGAACAATATATTTTAACTCCTACCAAAAATTTTAACTCCTACCTAACAGTGCTTAATCTTTTACACTAATATTTTTTTCCCTAAAAGAAAACTTGTAATTTAGCAAGAAACTCTGTTGTTTTTATTGAAGAAAATCCCAATACAGGGTCCCTGGAAAAAGTGAGATGAGAGGATCAGAAAACATGTTTTCCATTCTGAATATACTAAATCTGCTGTTTCAGAAGAACCTTCTCTTATTGCTGTTAATTCAAGCTAGCCACTGAGTCCTTCCTGTGTTCTGCCATAGTTCTAAAACATCCTTTTAAATACACTGGTTGAGTTGACTTGCCAAAGCATAAGAATCTAGCCACTGATGTGAATTGAAGAGAGTAGGAAATTTGTCTTATGTTTGCTTTGTTTTTTTTATGATTCTTCAAATGCTTTGCTCTAAGCTGCCTTCAGAAGAAAAATTTAGGAATTCTTTTGTATTTTTGAGGCATTAGACATAGGGTTTTTTACTTGCTTGCCATCTGCTTTTTTTAGTATTTCTAGTTTTGTGTCTTGTCATGGATTCCTTCTGGTTTTCCTTAAATCATGAAATAGAAATGCTCACCATGAATTGTGTGGCTTATGCCAATTGCTGTTTCTCTGTGTTTCTCTTCTGCAATGCAATTCACAAGTGCTGCAGTTCTTAAGTGCTGCTTGTCAAGCAGGGAGCAGAGACCCAAGAGTTTGTGCTTGCCAGACCTTTTCAGGGGAGCAGAACAGATGGTGTGTCGGTATTCCTCATGCTTTAGCTGTACTGAGACTTGTTTAATCTGTTTTGCATTCTCAAACTTCTTTCTTGTATGTTTTGACAGGAGACTGGAGCCCACAGAAAAACCCCTTCAGATTGTGTATGACTACTTGGCTCGGTTGGGTTTTGATGATCCTCTCAGAATGCAGGAAGAGGCAGCAAACTCTGATCTCAGCTGTATGATTCGCTTTTACAGTGGTAAGAAATTGTGTGTGTGCACTGTCACTGTTCCTGAGTCATCAGCCTGCTGGGTTTATAGAGGGCTACATCAAGCACCTGCAGTACCAGTAAGCATTTCTTAAAATAAAGCATTTTAAAGATTAATCAGAAAAAAACCACACTTCTGTAGTTTACTTGATCCTGTCCATGACTTGAGAAAAGACAGGTCCACAGGAGGGCACAAGGTTGCTCTGTTGCCTTTATATTCAAATATTGCAACTGATGACTTAGAGCTCCCACTGGGAGTTCTGTTTAGATGTGCATGAGGATTGTATTTACAAAAAGTTTGTGGATGTGTGCAAGGAAGCTCCTAGTCAAATACCTCCACAGCCTTTTAATAGTGAAGAGTGAAGGTGCCAGCTGGTTAATAATAATGCAGGCTGCCATCAGAGCCCTAGGGCACTGGATTGCAGAAGCAAGACTTTGGAGTGTCGCCCGTTGAATTGGTTTGGGCAGGAGACAGTATACACAAGGAGCCAGAGATAACAAGCATAGGCCTGTGGGCATGTGATACTAGCAGTCAGAAAGGGAATTCACTGAAGTTAACAGGAAATACAAAAGAAATGAGGGTGAGGAAGGATAATGAGGAAATTGTTTCCTTACTTGTAAGTATTTCACCTGTGTACTTTTTGCATTTCAGAAAAAAAAATTAAGATGCTTTTAATGGAAAATTGTTTCTGCATTGTGGAGCTGGGCAGCCAGGCTAAGCTGCTAGCCGTCTTTTGGTTATTCAGTGTCAAAAAAATGCATTTATAAGAAATCAGCTTCTTCACCCTGCTATCTGAGACAAACCCATTTTGTCTGGGAGCTGCGTGTAAGAACAAGCAAAACAGTGTAGATACTGTGTACCTTGTTTTGCATATATATATATATATACAAATATATATATATATATATATATATATATATATATATATATATATGCAAAACAAGGAGTATAACAGATGGAAAGAAGTCTGACATGCCTAGTCTGGATTTATGGGGCAAGGAAGTCAGAAGTTACTTCAGCTGGAAGGAGTAGAGGCATCAAGGATAGGGGTATGGAGAACTTCTGAGGAAAAAATGAAAGCTTGGGTATGTCAAGCAGGAACTGCCAAGGATTCACAAACAGCAACTCAATGGAACCAAGTAGATAGAAAATGTAACTGAATAGTTTCAGTCAGCGTGGGTGGCTGGTCTGCTTAGAAGAAAGCGATGAAGGAAGAAGTATAAGGGTTGAAGTGTGTTCGGGAGACTTGTTTTCAGGAAGTACAAGCAAATGCTGACAAAGTGATTCTCAAAGGTAGGGGAGGAATTAGAGGGAATGCTGTGGAGGATGATACACTAATTTTGCAAAGTCTGCACCTGAGAACCTAAGTGAGGAAGTAATGGATTTTACACAGAAAAACTTTACTTAGAATCGTGGCATCACAGACTGGTTTGGGTTGGAAGGAACTTTGAAGATCATCTAGTTCCACCCTCCTGTCATGGGCTGGGACACTTTCCACTAGACCAGATTTCTCCAAGCTCCACCCAGCCTGTCCTTGGACAGTTCCAGAGGTGGAGCTGCCACAGCTTCTCTGGGCAACCTGTGCTAAGGCCTCCCCACCCTCCCCATAAAACATTTCTTCCTTATGTCCAGTGTAAATTTGCCCTCTTTCAGTTTAGAAACATGGTCCATTGTTCTGCCGCTATAGGCCTTCTTAAAATGTCTCTCTATGCCTTTCTTATGAGCTGCCTTTATTTATAGAAAAGCTGCAAGAAGGCCTTCCCAGAGCCTTCTTTGCTCTGGGCTGAACAACCCCAGCTGTCTCAGCCTGTCTCCACAGGAGAGGTGTTATGGGTTTGGAGGAGAGGGGGAAACTGGAGCATTGGTGCAGCTGCATAGTAATGCTTGGAGCAGTGCTGCTGTGGCAGTTAGTAGGATACCACTTTTAGTCCCATAATAATGTTTTCTTGAAAGTGTGGGGCTGGTCTTTCAGCTTGGTGAAATCAAAGCAATTTTTTCAGTGGATTCTCACAGTTTCTTACCAGTAAAGGATATCTTATGTTAAATGTCATGTGTGTGAAACAAAGCTATTGTTGTAAATAAACAACTACATGTTTCAGTTAAATTCAGCCAGGTATGGACATCACTGTCAAGTACTTGAGATTTGGCAAGCTGAAGATCCTGCTAACTGAGAAACAATGTTACAGCTTTAGTTGGTAGTTAACTGTTTGCTCCTGATAAATGTTTGGAGTATGGGTTTCTTATTCAAGCTTGCTGTGTGATCAGTGTGACCTGCTTACTCCACATAGCGTCATTTTGAACATCCAGCCCAGCACCCCAGTAGGGTGCCAGGAGCAGCTGGACCTTAGTGCCAGTCAGCCCTGAAACAGCTCAAACCCCTTGATATGCTCCCAGTATCTCTTTCAGTTCAGCCCAATATTGTGCGCTCCAAATCTTTTGTAACCCCGACTCCAGAAGCTGAATGGTTGGCCTTGAGTGTGTCCAGCGCAGCAGCAATTGGCAGCAGTCTGACTCCAGTCCAGTCAGAGTAGTTGCAGTGGCTTGTCACAGGGTTGGAGTAGCCACAAATAGTTGCATCTCCCTAAACAAAACCTGAACCACATTCATGCTGCCTAGCAATAGGGAACCACACTGGTTTCGGCATCCCAGGGATATTAAAAATTCCCAAAAGCTGTTGTAATTAACCTGGAGGAGAAAAAGAGGATGTGGGAAGTATCCACTCTCTAGGTTAGGCTCTCTGAGGAGAAAAGGCAAATGGTGTCATTATTGATATTTTCCACTAAATGGCACCAGAGCACAAAGGTGGGGACCGTGCTGAGCACACAGACCACATTACAAAATACACCATAACCTTAACCCAGCCTTTATAGCAGATAAGGTGTTACATAATGCAGTCTTGAGAACAAGTGCAAGAAAATTGAGCAAACCAATCAATATTGTGACCAGCCACTGTTAAACCAATAAAATAAATGCTTATAGCAAATCTGTTTTAACACACTCTGGTCAGATCTGTCTCTGCCCTTAGTGCTCCAGATCTGGCACCTAAAAGGACTGTTGTGGTTTAACCTCAGCCACCCAATTAGCACCACTCATCTGCTCACTCACACACTGCTTTCCCCCGTGGGGTGGGAAGGAGAATGGGAAAAAGATGATACCTGTGGACTGGAAACAGTTTAATAATTGAAATAAAGTGAAATAATAATAATTGTAATGAAAAGGGAAATAACAAAGAGAAAGGAATAAGGCACAAGTGATCCACAACACACTATTCATCACACCGGTGCACTTTCTCTAGCAGTGCTCAGCCCTCCTCTCCCAGTTCCTTAAGTTTGTGTACTGCATGGTGTGAAATATCCCCTTTGCTAGTTTGGATCACCTGGTCCAACCATGCTCCCTTGCAGTTTCTTCTGCACCTGCTTGCTGCAGAGAATGGGATGCTGTAAAGTCCTTGACTTGGTTGAGTGCTGCTGAACCAACCGAAACAGCAGTTTTTTTAGTGTTATTATTTTTTTATGTTATCAACATTATTCTCACACTGAAGCCAAAACACAGCCTTGTACCATCTGCCAGGAAGAAAATTATTTCTATCTCAGGCAAAACCAGGATGGTCATCTTCAGGGAAAGAGCTTCCTTTGTAGTTGATTTTCCAGGACTTCCTTTTAAGTCCAGTAGAAGCCACTTATTTAATGATTTCACTGACTTCAGCTGACTAAACAAGAGTTTAAAATTACTTTTCTGTTGCATTTGAATGAAGAATATTTGTCAAGCATGTGGATTTGCTAAGGTCTGTAGCTACCTGTGGATAAAAAACACGATGCACGGCAACCATTCTAATATTATTCTGGGAGGCACAAGTGCTGCTGGTCGGCTGCTGTCCTCTGCATGAGACTTTTTTTTAAGTGCAGTTTGTCTGCTTGTTCTTTACAACACCTGGTTTTGCATGGTAGAGCTGTGTTATTTGTACTCACAGATAAGAATGAAGAACATATGGACAGTAAATGCTAATGTCCCCTTTTTCTTCAGAGAAGCCGTGTCAGGTGGAGCAGCTGGATCGCATCCTGCTCTCCGGAGTCTATAACGTGCGCAAAGGAAAGACCCAGCTGCACAAGTGGGCAGAGCGCTCCGTCACTCTCTGTGGCACGTGCCTCGTTGTGTCCTCAGTGAAGGACAGCCATGCAGGGAAGATGCACATCTTGCCTCTCGTTGGAGGGAAGGTAAGGCTTTTTTTTTGGTTAGTTCTCTGTAGCCTGGGAAGGAAGAAGAAATGTGGTAGTGATGGGAATTGCCCACAAAAGATTAATGTAGGCTTTTTTAACAGATTACTGCATTAATGTCCCCAACCTCTTTCTACTTGCTCTGCTTAGGTAGTAGTCTGAAGGCTAATGAAATGAAGAAACACTGTTCAGCTTTCACAGCAGTAGCCAATCTGCATGGACACTCTGGAAATTACTACTTCTTGTATCCATTTCAGCAGAAATATGTTAAGCAGGATTTACTTCTGTGTTTTTCTCCAGTGACTGCAGCCATATTTTCGGCAAAATGCAATGTTACTGGTGGTCAGTAATACTTCACCCTAGTCTTCAAGTCAGTTGTGATTGCTGGCTCTTAGGCAGACTGTTGTTGTCAATTCTCCCTCTACAGGTGGAAGAGATGAAACGTCGGCAGTACACCCTTGCTTTCACATCTGCTGGAGCGCAAGCTCAGACCTACCACGTTTCCTTTGAAACGCTGGCAGAGTGCCAGCGGTGGCACCGGCAGGCATCCACGGTGAGGCCATGGGGACACACTGTGGTTTGGATGTGGGCGCAGGGTACACCACAGGAAAGTTATTGTGATGCAAGCTTGATCTGCAGTCAGAGATGATGCTACAATGCTGGAGAAAGTACCCAGGATATTTTCCAGCTTTATTTCCTTCACGCTCTGCGCTACAGAGATTTTTCTCCTAGCCTTCTCTTTTTCTCTACCTGTGCAACATTGTTGAGCAGTAGTTCTGTGCTGTTTTAACCCCTGCAAGACTAACTTCATCACAGGTCCCTAGAGCAAACCTCAGGGACTGGCTGACTACAGCCATAGAAACCTACAGATGGCATTTGTTGCCATACTTGAATGTGCCTGAAGTATGACCTGAACATACACAGGGCTGCCTTGAGGTTTGAGATACAGAGACATTGTAGGTCAGCAAGGATATTAAGAGTTCAGGGTAAAGCAGGTCATAATATGTCAAAGTAATCACCGAAGACCTCAAGACAAAACATAGTTTATGAAAGGACATGAGATTTGCAGAGACTTTATGAAATGCTGCAAAACCATAATGTATGAAGCCTTTTTATAACAAGTTATGTTTCAAATTTTATACTCTCCACAAGCTAATAAAAGAAAGTAGCTAAAAGTACAGTAGAAGCAGCTATGCTAGGCAGAGGTTCTGTAAACCTCATAGAACTGAACTGGAAAATCAGCTGCTTCCTGTTGCTTTTTGCACCTTTGGAAAGCACTTGAGATTGTGCTTTCTCAATAGAGTTTCCTGAAAGATCTGTTTTTCTCTATTACCCTGGCTCTCTTAGAGCCTAGCCTTTAGGCAGTGTGCCCGTTGCACACACAGAGCAGGGCTTTGTGTGAGTCCTGGCTGGTATCCAGCTGTGCGTCCTTGCCAGGGATGTAGCAAAGGGCACAGGCTTGTACTTCATGGGCTCCCATTTCCTGCATGGACTCTACCTGGTAGGTACAAGGGATTCTTTCATGTTCTTGCAAATTGTTTATTGCTTGTATTCTTTGGTCTTCCATTAGACTTCCAGAGAAAATTTGTTGCACAGCTGCAGCTTTTTCTTTTTCTTTTCAGATTGTGTCTATGCGATTTAGCATGGTTGATCTTTCATGCTACAGCCTTGAGGAAGTACCAGAGCACCTCTTCTACAGTCAAGATATCACCTACCTCAACTTACGCCACAATTTTATGAGAACAAGTGGAGCAGGAAGTCTTGACTCTCTTTGCAGGTCTGCAAAGAATCATTTTTCTCCTACATTTGGAGTCCTTGACATGTGGATATAGGAATGAAGTATTGCCTGTTCTCTTAGGCATGGTAAAAAAATTGATCTTTACGAAGCTCTGACAAGTGAGGGGGTTGGAAGCAGAACTGAGCAGCACAAGCAGGAATAAACTTCCAACAATTTATAGTATTCATGAGCTCCCTTCCACAGATTCTGTGCTAACTCTGACGTGAGATAAGCCTTGTGGGTGACATGCCATTTCTATGGACAAGATGCAATAGTAATATTAGGCTGCTTGCTAAGCAGAGACCATCTTGGGGTATAAAATAAAAGGCAAGGAAAAGCATAATAATGCTGCTGTGAATAAGTTTGTAGGAAAAAGTTTAGGTCTGAAAAACCTTGTTTCGGCAAGTTCTTAATGTGTATTTGGAATTGGCAGAGGGCCTGTGAGACTCCAGCTTTGCTTTGGAAACTTGTGATGATCTGCTTTTAAGAGAGTAGCAGTTGTGTGATGTTATGGAAGCATGATGTAGTCATCTTAGGTAAGTGAAGGAGTCTTACAAAAATATTTTTAAATTAATTTCCCAAAGTCATAAAAATCTAGAGGGAGATTAGTCTGTTCATATGTATACCAGCCATGCTAAATAGAATTCAAGGAGTTACTCTATGAGTTTTGAAAACTGTTAGGAAGCTTATAGTAATACTGTTCAATGGCTCTGTTTGGAACACATTTCCCTATGGAAAATGTATTTGGAGAAACTTTGCAAAACTGCTTTTTGGTTTTTTGTTTGTTTTGGTTTGTTGTAGTTTTGAGGTTTTGAGGTTTGGTTGCTTTTGTCATTTTGGTTTGTTGTGGGTTTGTTTTTTTGTTTTTTTTTTTTTTTTTCGGGGTGGGGTGGGGAAGGCTTTATTTTTGTTTTCTTTGTCTCTAGGGGCCTTCTACTGTGCTATTTAATTTTTCTTCCTCTAGGGTAATGAGATGCCCAGGTATCTATGAGAATATACAATGAAAAAAATTGCTCACTTTTGGAAATTCTTTGCAGTTTCCTTGCAAGCCAGAGTCTAGTCTGGTTTTCCAAACTTGTTTAAAAGTTTTCTAATGCTGAATTGTAATAGATTCTGTTACTGGAGAAGTTGCTTAAAATAATTTAAGATTTTGTTTTCTACTTGTCTCTTCAGTTACATTGTATGGTTTTGAAAGGCACATCAGAACTTTATTTTCTAAAATGGAGTATCCTTGGTTCACAGGATCAGAAAGGGGCTTGAAATTTCTTTTGACCTTGCATGTAGTCAACAAGAAATCTGACATGTCAGAAACTCAACTCTTTTCCCGGCAGTGACTGTGTCTGATGAAGCTGAAATCCGCAAACAAACAAAAGCCATAAAAGAAGCTCTCACTTCACACAATCTAGAGTAAACTGATAGCATTAGTTTGCCCACATAAGACTGCTCATTGCCTTTTGAAAAGATTTTCTATCTGAGGTTTTTAGGATGCTTCTAAGATTACAGCACCACAAGAAGACCCTTGCTCACTCAGTGCATTGATTCTGTCAATTCCCAGCAGCAGAATTATTCACAATGATCAGATCTCTTCCTCCGAGATCTTCAAGCTCTAGGAGTCTAATTACCTATAACTATAATAATGGAGCAAAAACAATTGGCTAAAGGGAAAATGTTAAGCAAAGAGCATTAAATAGCCCTACCTGCTTTGTTACATCTCCTACTTTATTTTTTATATATTGTAGTGCCTTTCAAGCATCTCCCTTATCTGAAAAACACTGAGATCTGGTCTTCATTGATACATGTGTGTGCACACACGTATACATCTGCATGACTCTTGTCAGCATTTTAGCTAGTTGATACATGTTTGCTGGTGTGCTTTGGTGGCAGAACGGGATGTGTTGAACTTGGAATATTTCAGGGCAGCACCAGTCTGGGCTGCTAAACAGAGGATGGTAATCCCATGGAAGATGCACTGCTGTGTTTCCACACTTCTTTGTTGTCTCAGTATGCCCTGTGAGAGCACAAACCATAACCTGAGGAGCCACAACGATTTTGGAATCTTTATCCCTTATAATACCTGGTTCATATATACAGCTTGAGTGAGAGTTGCATTTCCATTCCACTCCACTCCTACATCACTACATGAGCTTACTGAGGCGAAGGAGAGCTCAAAAGGCTTTTGAGTATTGTCCTCCCCACTGAGTATGGAAGTCTACTTGAGGAAACTCAGACCCAGCTGTGTCATATACCAGTTTCCCTTCAGCTTTTGGAAACTGTAATGCCCCTCTTGTGCTTGCCTTGATATTTTTGCAGCGGGATAAATTCTAAACATCAGTTGTGCGGTTGAGTTTAATGCTGTGTCTCTCAGAGCAGCTGCTCACTATGCTGTTAGAGAGAGGAAACACTGCTTGACACTAACAACATGTGCAGCAAAAGCCATTGCAGAACTCCTGAGAAAGCAGTTTTATTAAAGCATTTGCTGATTTCAAACCCTGAGAGCCATGACCTGTCCTAAATCTCTTAAAGTTGAACCAGCTAATGAGATTGTTCAAATCTTCAGGTTCATCCTCATTGTTTCCTTTTCCAATACTGTGGTGGAGTTCTGTGTGCAAGTTTCTAATTTTTGTATCATTGTTAGACCTTTGCATTATGCTTCCTTTGAGGAAGGCTTTTACCAACATAGCATCTTTTTCTCTTTGGCTTTCAGTTGCAGTACAAGAGAGTCTGTGGCTGTAGCAAACAAAAATGCCTGCACCCTTATTCATATGATGGGGTGCTCAAAGCAAACAACTCATGTCCAAGTTTCAGCTGTGCTCCCTCTTTCAAAAGAACAACATCCCCCAAGGTTATAAAACAAAATGGAGAAATATTATGCATAATTCCTACACAGATCATTACTAGTATTTTGAATCCAAGAAACGCACTATAAAGAAGAAGACAACTCCAAAACCTTTCAATTCTATATTTCAAGACATCTCAAGCTAGAAGTAATATTCTCCCTCAAGCTAATTAACCTTGGTTTTGTTACTGATATTAGAACATTTGTTTCAAAATAAGAGCTACTCACCAATGCCTGGGAAAAGTCAGGTGGGGGAGGCAGATGAATAACTGCATGTTTCTAAGAAGTAGTTCTCTGGTACATGAAATTTGCAGTTATCTCATTGAAGTGAGATACTAATTTCCCCACTGAATTAATTTTTGGTGGTTCCAGTTTGGGATGAAGAGGGAACAATACTTGGGGAACAATACTTTTGCTTCTTGTAGCAGGAGGCAGGAACTCTTGGAGGAGAACCCTGCTGTGTGTTACCCCAGCCACGCTAAGTTCCTTCTCTGTCTTTGGAGCTAGCATGGTGACAGAAGGAGCTGGGGCTGGGTAACCCTTTCTCAGGCACTGGAGGGGCTGTGGTGGCTGTGGAGCTCTCTGTACTTGGGGCAGTGTGTGCCATGCAGTCTGCTGAGCAAGGAGCACTGTGGCTGTGCAATCTTGTTCCAGGACCTCTGGGTGCAGCTCTTGGGTTTCCCAGCATGGAGCAAGTGCTTTCCTAGTTTTCCCTTTTACAGCTTGGCTTGGCTTTCTGTTTTATTCTCAGAATAGTCCTAGTGAACGTTTTCAGCTCCTCTTTTCCCAAGCTACATAATTGTAGACTCTTACTATAGTTAATTCTTTTAAGGTAAATTTTTTTAACTGAGCATTTTAGTCACCTTAATCTTAGTAGCAGTCACTAGGACGAAGCTTGTTAAGTCAGTGTAGAAGGTCATTATCAGTTCCTGCAGTAAACCCGTGGTATTTGATCACTTTCAGCATGACAGTTGAGAAGAATATCAATGACTTAAACTCAAATTTATGCAGAGACTCCTGTAATGAGTTAGCTGACTGTATCACCAGTGTACAAATACTTATGAATTCTTTATGACTGGTTTGTGTATTTTTGCTTTTGGACGTGTATTTTGTGAATTAACTAGTGTTCTTGCTAATAGGTTTTCTCAGTTGAAGAGTCTGAACTTGTCTCATAATAGACTGGGAGAGTTTCCTGTATCACTGTGTGAGATCTCTACTCTGACAGAGCTTAATATTTCCTGTAATGGACTTCATTACTTGCCAAGTCAGATTGGCAAGCTGTTGAAGTGAGTATGTTCTTTACATCTGTGATCATAAGCACCCTTGGTGCCTCAGCTGAGCACTACTGATGTGCAGCTACTGTTTTTGAAAGTGTGAAAAAAAACCCCAGGGCAGCCTGTTTTATCCATGAAGGCTGAATAACTAATTTGACTCCAGCAGAAGGTCAAGATGTGCAATCCCTTAATCACTACCAGGAAAACATCACAACTTCTAGCACAGAAAAGATAAGGAAACTTAATACAGATAAAGCACTGAAGGCAACTGCATTGTTTCTCAAATAAGTCTATGTGCATTTTTCTGCAGCTTCAGAGTTGTTTGATTTTCTGCATTTGTTATTTGAATTTAATATTTTTAGTACTGATGTAATTTCTATTGAAGTTTTAATATATTGTACAAACTTTTCTGTGATAACTTCTCACAGGGGTCTAGTGATTTTTGTCAGCACTGGTATGTTTGATTGTGTTCTACAGAACTAGCTGCTTTTGTGTTAGAGGATTTTAACATGAAAAAACTTGAGCAATCCCCTCTGAAAATTTTGTCTTAAAGTGTTTGCTGGAGTCTTGTCCATTTTCCCCAGTAGCTGCCCCAAATGCATAAGAGCTTAAGCTTAGGTAAATTTAATTGCAAGACTGTTAGTACATTTAGATAAACATGAATAGATATTTATCTAAATGTACATATGGATAAACATCAATATTGAAATGTTGATTTGTTGTGGCCTGCTTTTCCTCCAACTTGTATCTTTAAAGAAGGAGTGTCTGCAGCCACACTGGATGTGAACAAGTAATTTCCACAATAATCTTCTAGCCATATGCAAACTGTGAGGATAAAGTTGTATGTAGGCATACACTTCTTGGAGGTGTATAGCTTAGTTATGGGTCCAGTTATCTTGATGACTCCTTGAGCCCTTATTCATAAGAACTTTTTGTGGCCTCAGATTTCATTTCTACCACCACTAAAAACAGAAAGGTCTCTGTTGGAACATAATCACAGTAAGGGAATTGTATACTTGGGATCTGAGTCTCAAAAGCCACACAACCTTTGAAACAATTCATCATACAACAGAGCTACCTTATTTTCTGAGTATGTGTTGGAATGAACAACTAGAGTATAAAAATCTTCTACTAGTGCATTAGTGTGGTAGGAAGTGATTAAACTGTGCCATTTGTAGAAAATTAAGTAATTAGGTAAATACCTTTCATTTACAATGTAAGTACTGGTTTGTATTTTGCTTATGTTAACTTACAATCTTTGGCACAACTGGAAGTTCCAAGCCTATTACATGTATGATAAAAGTACTTTAGTAAATTTACATGTATAAGAATAAAATTAGCTGTTATTTAAAAATAACTACATTGAGATCAGCTAACTATATGAGAAAATTCACTGAAAATATGATATGTGATGTTCACTGCTCATTGCAGAATTATTTTCTTTTTCACTGTTGCAGTCTCCAGACCTTCTGTCTTGATGGCAATTTCCTCACATCCTTACCAGAAGAGATGGGAAACCTGCAGCAGCTCAGCTGTCTTGGGCTTTCCTTCAATAACTTCTGTGAACTGCCAGCAATTTGTGAGAAACTTGTCACCTTAGACAAACTAGCCCTGGCAGGGAACTCGATAGAGAGCCTGGACCTGGCAGTGCTGAACCGCATGGGTCACATCAAAAGTGTGGACCTGAGGTAAGGGCTGAAACTGGCAGGTGTCTATAAAACAGATTGGTACTTTCCATGTACAGCAGAGGCTCTGTGCAACTTCTGGTACATTTTGCTATAATAACTAGGTTCACTTTTTTCTCTTACTGGTTCTTTAGCTTTTATGGAGTTCTGTTTCTGAGGGTGTGCAGAATCCACTTGGAAAAGCAAGCTTAATTGAGCAGTGCCAGATGCTGAATGTGACCCAGCCCTCTAGTTTCCTCTTGTGATTTGCTGTTACCTTGAGCTTTGGTAGCTCAAGAGATCAAACCTTGATCTTTTCTTCCCTCCTTTGCCTCCCTGCCCTAGAGATGTGATTTTGATTCTCCAGGCTGCCAACTGCAGATCTCTCAGAAAGGGACAAAGATCTTTTTGTGTGTGGCAAGGCAGTCTAGTATCTGTTCTCTGCATTAGCTTCCTGTGTCCATGCAGAGTAGCTGCCCCTTGACCTGGTTTCTGTTTTCTAGACTGGGTCTTTTTTCAGACTCTCTTAAGAATTTGGGAATCATTAAAATTATTATGTGTAGCAGTGTAGACAAAGGAAGTGTTTTTCTTTGTATTCACTGCCTGAAATTCACCATTGCTTGTCACACATTTCATTCACTGTGCTCGCCTCTGGTGTTAGCCTTCACCAGAATTCTTCCTTTCCTCTTCTTTCTTCTCTCTTACCAATGTCCACTGTTCAGTGTCTTATTTTCTGACTTTTTAACTCATCTCTGAGTGTTTAGGCTGAACAACTTGAAGACAGCAGCAGCTGACACTCTGGAGGGGAACAAATCTTTGGCTTACATGGATTTACGAGACAATCAGATGACAGATCTGGATCTGAGCTCCTTGGTCAGCCTGGAGCAGCTGCACTGCGAGCGAAATAAGCTGAGAGAGCTGACACTGAGCGGCTTCTCCCTTCGGGCCCTGTATGCCAACAGCAACTGTACGTCTCTTTGTCTTCTTCACTTGCCTTTTCCCTTTAAGCCCTGAGAGCAAAGGATAACAGCCTTTTGCCCTCTCTCACGCATTAAAAAAATACTTACCTTGATGTCGTTGTGGTGAAACCATATGCAGTGGGTCCTGTGAGGTTAGCTCCTATGGGTCACATATGCATTGGTGTACACAGGCCGTGTAACAGTGTGGAGATTATGGTGTTATGTCCAAGGAATTCATGTTCCATTGACATCTGTTTGGGAGCGCACAAAGAAAAGTACAGTTCTCCCTTGTTCTTGTACTCCACATGACAGATGGAGAAATGGATAGTGAGACACTATAGTGTGTCATATGGTAGATGTATGAAGTGTGAACTCCATGATGGGAAGTATCAATGGGGACCTTGAGTCTCCATAAAGAAAGACTGTGAGTCTCATTTCATAACTAAGCTGCATCTCTGTGCTGTTTTCTCTCTGAAGCTCTGCAATCATACTTATTTGCTTTACTTCATCAGGTCTGACAGCTGTCAATATTTATCCGGTTCCTGGTCTACTGACATGTCTAGAACTCTCTCAGTAAGTGATAATACACAACAGAATTTAAAGCAAGTATCTGGACATCTTGAGAGCAATTAAAAACAATAGAACTTCAAAGCCCAGCACTAAACAATGATGAAAGTGTCCCAGACCAGAAGCCCTTCTGAACCAATATGACCTTTTCAGGTGACTTTGCTGTCCTTCAGCTGTAGGCTGTGATTAGGAAAAAAAAAATTCAAGCAGGGACCACTGAACTTTGGCAGCTTACTGAACTGAGTGGGGGGGATCTGTGGATCAAACATTTAGAGTAGTTCCGAGTGCTCTCTGCTGTTGGTTTCATTGCCTACATCTGCCCTTGGAGCAGCATTGTGAGACCTGTAAGATAGGATGCCCTGCCAAGTCATGAGCCAGTTCAGTTTGCATTATCCGTGACTAACTCAGATACTGTTCATTTTTTGCCTGTTGCTTTTGGTTTGGCTGTCACTAAAATCATGCAGCATTCAGTGTCTTTTCCATATGGACTGCTGGTTTCTAGCTTTTCCCACTTGCTTTTCTCAGCAATCAACTACAGTGTGTCCCAGACTGGGCCTGTGAAGCAAAGAAACTGGAAGTTTTGGATGTGAGCTACAATCTACTCTTGGAGCTTCCATCGAGGTCAGAAAACCTTTGTAAACAGAGCTGAGCTTTCTTCTACAATGGGCTGTCTGGGAAGAGAAAAGCAGTGCTATTCCCGTTGCTTAATTCCTTGTTATCTCGGGATACTTACTCTCACTTACTTTTTCTGTGTAGCATCATAAATGCTCTGTATTCAAATGTTGGAAAGAACTAGTTTCTAGGTCAGCCTTTTGAACAGTAGGGGTTAGGTAATTCTGTCCTGTGCTTTCGGCTGCTACTGCAGCTATTTGCACCTGGCATAGAACATTCTGCTGTGATTTATATGTGTTATTATCATACTGTCTGTAAACACAGGTCATAGGTGAGACCCTAATACATTTTGCATCATGCCACAGCAATTTCATCTGTTACCTTTGACAGGCAGTTATCACAAAGGGACAATTCAGCTGATCTCAAATGTAGCTTTCACCATACACCATCAGCCAGCTCTTTTCTCCCTATTTCCTTTTCAGTTTCTGCAGAAATGCAGTGAAAGAGAGCCACAAACGAATATAATTTTGCAGTTATTTATCCTAGGAAGAAGCAAACCATAAACATTCTCAGCCTAATAAGGGAGTTTGATGGGGGTGTGATTTGATAAATGACACAGTGCCTGGGGTAAGTTGCACTAAAATTGAATGGAGAAGTGGTTAACAGGGAAGAAATGCAGAACATGGGTTGGAGAAGTTGAAGCAAGAGACATAGGAGGTGAACAGCAGTGACATTCCAGTGATTGTCACAGAAAAACTATATACATCAAAAGCAAGAAAAGGACATAGCAAAGATGTAATAGTGAGACCTTAGAAGAGAATTTTAGCCAATCCAATGGATTAAAGGGACCAAATTTTAAGTATATTGTGCAAAGAATAATTTACTGCCTCAGAAATAACACAGGAGTGTTAAGCCGCTAGTTAAAGCTTTGAATTTATGTTGGCACTGTGGAAGCACATCTTTCTACCTACAAGTAACAATAGGCATTTAAAGCATTCCTTTGTGACTTCTTTCTTTGTCTGCCTGAGAGAATGCTGGGCACATGCACACCAACTCGAATCACAAGATACCAAAGAGTAGTAGTGTAGAGGGAAACGAAGATACGCATCCAAGCATTCAGAGAGACTTGAGTCATCTTACCCTGTGTGTTGTTCTGCTTTATAATTGTTTACATTTTATGGATCAATGTATTTTAATTTTTCCCTGTTGTACAAGCAAATTAAGTGGATTAAATACTACTTTTCCCACTCTGTGGATGTCAAGAGGAATGAACCAAGTTAAATAGAAAACCCTGTGTCTTTCTAGGATCCTCAGAAGCTTAAGTCTTCGGAAGTTGATGGTGGGGCACAATCATCTGCAGAGCCTTCCACCTCTTCAAGAACACATTCCACTGGAGGTGCTGGACCTTCAGCACAATCTGTTGACTAAACTCCCAGAGACACTCTTTGTCAAAGCTCTGAAGTGAGTGTCAGTATCAAGCATCTTCTGTCCGCATTATCCTTTGGCGTGTATGGGCTGAAAGTGGCACCTGTGTGACTGTCCTTGCAAGGTGCCATTTGCATAAGAGATGATGAGGTATGCCCTTGATGAGGAGGTTATTCAGGTGCCATAAGGGAAGCCATCAAGCTGATCTGAAGGAATCAGTCCATGTTACTGTATAATTACAGGAAAACAGAAGCTGTCAGAAGAACTTTGTCTTTAAAAGTAGTCATAAGTTCAAGTGCAAAGAAAAGAAGCCAGTCAGATTCAGGTCATTTGAGAGCAACAAGAGAGACCCTTTACAAATGAACAGTCTCTCCTAACTGTATTCACACAGGAGTTAACCCTTCTTTAAAGAAGCCCTTCTTTAAGTAAAGTTTTATGTTGTCTGCTTCCACCAGTATTACCCATGGGCTTTTCAGTACTCACTGTTTACTGTAAAAATGCATCCACAGTGCATATAGCTAGTAAGTCATTAGTAGACTCACAAATCTTAATGTGACTAGGGATGTTACAGTATTGTCTGACTTCCTGTCTCATACTGCTGTCTACACTGGCATTTGTACAGCTCCTTTTCCTTGTTAATGGAGTGGTTTGGATGATGTGAAGTCTGATTCTTGCGCTTGCTGTGGTTAGCCTCAGGTACCTGAATGCATCTGCCAACAGTCTGGAGTCCTTGCCCTCCACATGTCCAGGGGAGGAGAGTTTGAGCATGTTGCAGCTGCTATACCTGACTAATAACAACCTCACAGATCAATGCATCCCTGTCTTGGTGGGACACCCAAACCTACGGATCCTGCATCTGGCAAACAACAACCTGCAGACTTTCCCTGCAAGGTAAGTCAGCAAGGCTGTTGGGCAAGACAATGCTGGGAGGAAGCTGCCACCTCCCCGTGATTGTACGTGAGTCAAAGTCAGAGTGAGATGCTCTTCCTGTGGCTTGAAGACAAAAACCTGACATTTCTACACACAAAGGGAGGAGTAGCATGTTAAGGGGGATTGGCACAGGGTAGTGTTGGCTGTAGGTTTTCCTGTTGTAGTTAAGGTACCATCCAGGGGGACCAAGGGATGTACCTTGTTGTGTTGCGTGTGTGTGGGGATGGGGTGATATTTCTTTGCAACTTCAGCACTGATGGTGAAGAGTCTGTCTGTTGTACAAATCCAAGCCAGTCTTGGGGACCCTGCATCTTAATAGAGCATCTCTTAGGACTTTGGATCTCCTGTCAGTAAATCAGAAAAGTAGTTCGTCAAGGGCAGTGTCTATAGATACCTCATCTGCAACTTCAGAAAGTGACACGTTCATGTCTGTAAGATACAGTATTTTTTTGTTTCCATTTCAGCAAACTTAGTAAGCTGGAGCACTTGGAAGAACTGAATCTGAGTGGAAACAAGCTGAAAACAATTCCTACAACGGTTGCAAACTGCAAGCTGCTTCATACACTTATTGCACACTCTAATGAAATCAGCATTTTTCCAGAAATCCTGCATTTGCCCCGTATTCAGGTATTTGTAGAGAGAAGATAAAGAGAGATCTGGGTAAAGTTTGGGCTATAGAATGAGTAACTGCTAGGAGAGAACAGGAGATCCCAGCAAGGCCAAGTGCGAGGTGCTGTACCTGGGTCAGGGCTGCCCCGGTATCAATCCAGACTGGGCATGAATGGTTGAGAGCAGCCCTGCTGAGAAGGGCTTGGGGATGCTGCTGGGTGAGAGGCTGAACATGCCCTGGCCACATGTGCGGGCACCCAGAAACCCCCCACACATCCTGGGCTCATCCCCAGTGGCATAGACAGCGGGTAAGGAGGGGATTCTGCCCCCCTGCCCTGCTCAGATGAGATCCCACCTGGAGGGCTGCACCCAGCTCTTGAGCCCTCAGCACGTCAAGGGCAGTCAAGAAGGACTCAGACCTGTTGGAGTAGGTCCAGAGGAGTCCATGAAGATGATCAGAAGGCTGGAGCATCTCTGCTGTGGCAGTGGGCTGAGTGGTTTGGAGTTGTTCAGCTTGGAGAAGAAAAGGGTCTGGAGTAACCTTATTGCAACCTTGCATTACCCAAAGTGACTAAAAGAGAACTTGAGAGGGACTGTGAACAAAGGCATGGATTGATAGCATAACGGGGAATGGCTTTAAAGTGAAAGAGAGTAGGTCTAGGAAGAAACTCTTCCCTATGAGGGTGGGGAGGCTGCGGCACAGGTTGTCCAGCGAAGCTGTGGCTGCCCCATCCCTGGAAGTTTCAAGGCCAGGTTGGACAGGTCTTGGAGCAACCTCTTATAGTGGAAGGTGTCCCTGCCCATGGCAGATGTGTTGAAAAAATGAGCTCTAAGGTCTCTTCCAGCACAGACATTCTGTGGCTCAATGATTTTGCTTGATCAACCCGAGAAAAGGCCACAGAATATGCATTCTAGATCTCTCACCTTTCTGAGCTGATCAAAGATCATGTCATTCACCTTTACCCCGTCTCTGACATTTCTGGTTTCTTGCATTTGAGACAGTGGGCAGTGTTAAATAGCTAGGTAGGTTTGCATATAGAGCCTTTCCTTTATCTTTGGTGTGACCTAGTCTTTCAGTATTGGAGTCATGGTTATTACAGGTTGCTTATAAATCGTTCTTCTTCTGACAAGTCAGATCCATTTCCATGACCTGTGTATGAGATACAATAAGTAGCAGGGTTGTATGATGTTTGTAAGGAGCACTGGAGTAACTGATGACACAACACAACACAGTATTTTCTTTGTCATGCTGTTTGTTGCTACTGCAGTTTGTGGATTTGAGCTGCAATGAGTTAACTGAAATCCTAATCCCTGAGGCACTGCCAGGTGCCTTGCAAGAGCTGGATCTGAGTGGAAACACAAACCTGGTGTTAGAACACAAGACACTGGATATCTTCAGGTGAGCCATTGACATGTCAACCCAGTAGTGACCTGCACAGGGAAGGGTAACTCTTGCCAGGAGAGGAAATGGGATAGTAAAGTAAAAGCACTTTATCACTGCATGGTGGAATAACATTCCCTGCCTGAGGCAGCTGAGACTTACTGTCTTTGGGAAGGGAAAAGTCTGGGTCTGAAAAATCAGAGCAAGGAATTTTTCAGGTGGTATGAAGTTTTCCCAGGTGTCTCTGTCATAAGCAGCCAGGCATCTCCAGAAGACCTAGACCTTAAACTCCTTTCCTTCATGCAGTTCTTTCCACAGACTGCTGTCTAAAACTAGACTGGACAAGGTCCTAAGGCCTGTTCAGCAGGTTCTAGAAAAGCATAACTTCTGTTCTCTCTGTAGTCACATTAGCACACTGAAGATTGATGCTAAGCCCTCCCTCACGGCAGACTCGGCACTCACTTCTGTCTTCTGGAGTCACGGAGTAGCTGAGATGGCAGGCCAAAGAAATAAGTGAGTATTATGGTCTGCTGAGCACTGACACTGTCTTCTCAGGATACAGGGCAGAGTGCACTGCTGAGCACCCAACCAGACCTGTTTTGCCCAAGAGCTCATCCTTCCCTTTTTCTCTCTGGATCTCTTACTAAGTCTTGGTAACTCATGTCTCCACATTACCTTTTGCCTCAATTTTCACACTTCCCAGTACACTTGAACTCTCCTTCCCTCTGTAGCAAAGATGCTTTTTCTCTTGCCAGCTGTGCCTGTGGCTCTCTCCTGCATGTAGTCAAGGAGGATTTGGGAGTTCCAGTAATAAAATGCAGCTGTACATCTCCCAGGCTAGTGAATGTAGGGATAGTGGCTTTGCTGCCCTGTGAGAATGGCACTCACAGCAAGGTGCCTGATGGCTGTGGTTTTGAGAACAAGATAATTTTTTGAGACACATTAACTTAGCTTGTATGCTTTTCTGACAGGCTGTGTGTATCATCCCTGGCACTGGGGAGCTTTGCAGAGGGGGTAGAGGCTGTGTATGGCATGTTTGATGGTGACAAGAACGAGGAACTGCCACGTTTGCTGCAGTGCACCATGGCTGATGTGCTCCTGGAGGAGGTACAGCAGTCTGACACCATGTTCATGTCCAACACCTTCTTGGTCTCCCACAGGTAGGACAGTGAGCAGGCTGGTCCTGGTGGGACTTGCATAAGGTATATCAATGTTAAGTGGGGTGAGGCAGCCCTCCAGAATGCCTGTCAGTAGCGTCTGGAGCCTCCTACACCTTCTCCTCCAACAGGAAGCTGGGCATGGCTGGGCAGAAGCTGGGTTCCTCTGCTGTCCTTTGCTACATTCGTAATGAGGTCGCTGATCCAGCCAGCAACTTTTCTCTGACGGTGGCCAATGTGGGGACGTGCCAAGCCGTTCTGTGCCGAAGCGGAAAAGCACTGCCTCTCTCCAAAGTCTTCAGTCTTGAACAATGTTCAGAAGAAGCTAGGAGAGTCAAGGAACAAAAAGCCATTATAACAGAGGTTGGTTTGGACCCTTTTCACTTCAACTTCCACACTCACATAAAAGCTGAGCACAAATACATGAGCTCGGCTGTCTGCATAACATTATAGGGGAGAGGGTGACATGAAGGTTCTGATCTAGTGCTTCCTGCTCTGCTTCATTTGCTGATTCACTGTCCAAAATTGCTAAATTTTAGGAATTTGCAAATTCCTAAAACTCTTTGGCCTAAGAACTATGGGCATAGGATGACTTGTAGTATGCAAAAGTATTAAAAGTATTTTAGAAAATCTGTAAAGGTTAGCTTTCTAAACACTTGGAAATAACAGGGAAGTTCCAAAGATTGGGGAACATACGTGTGTAAAGATCTTGAGAAACTAGTGCCAATCACTGTAGTTGTGTGCTCAGTGGGTCCTTTTAAAAGTATCAAATTGCTAGATAGCAGTATTTTTCATGAGCATAATGGGTAACTGTGTTACAGCTCTTCAAGGCGTAGCACTGTGGCTACTGACTGAAAATAACTATGGGATTAATGTAGCACGTTAAATAGTTTAAAAACTGGCTCATTAATGGATTCTGAAAAAAAAATGTGAAATTATTGTATAAGAGACTTCCCTGTGCATCTCATCTGCTGGATTTTAATACTTGGCGGCAGCAGCAGTGCTGACACCCAGAGGATACAGAATTTAAGAACACTGAAATTAAACTCAAGACACTGACTTGGGAAAGGGACTGAGGGTTCTGGGCACTTCTCTTTATGGGAGACCACTGCCAGGCTGGCCAGGAGACCATCTAGCAGAAGCGGGTAATACATCCTGATTACAGAAACAGTTTGAGATACCTACCTATTCTTTTTATCCTCGGGTTATAGTGTCCACATTTCACAATGCAGTTATACATTAATAAAGAGCGAAATACTTCAGATAATACACAGAAATAGTTTAATGTCTGGGTAACCTGTCTTGCACTGAGAAAGTTGAAAGTCACTGTCTCGTACTGAAAAAATAAGTTTCACATAAGACTAATCAGTGAGACTCTCTGATCAGTGTATTGCAGGTAGACTAGCTGCACATTTCAGAATTTTCTGCTACAATTCTTCAGAGTGCAACAAAAAGTCTTGTGGCATAAAAGTGTGTTATTGCCAGCATGGATGATGGCGGTTATTGTACCTGGTCATCAGTGAATGTTTGTGCTGTAGTACCTGCACCTAGATCCCTTTCTCCAGTGCTGCAGCTGTGTAACTGGCATTTCTCAAGGCTCCAAACCAGCATATGAGCAGGGGAAAGTTTGCTTTCTAAGTGATCGTAATAGCACATCCAATGCTACTCCCTTATTTCTCTTGTCTGCAGGACAATAAAGTCAATGGTGTGACTTGCTGTACTCGGATGCTGGGCTGCACGTACCTGCATCCTTGGATCCTGCCCAAACCACATGTCTATTCCATTCCACTGACTGTACAAGATGAGTTGCTACTTCTAGGGAACAAAGCTCTCTGGGAACACCTTTCTTATGCAGAAGCTGTCTCAGCTGTGCGGCACCTACACGACCCACTAGCTGCTGCAAAGAAGCTCTGCACTTTAGCACAAAGCTATGGTTGCCAAGACAATGTTGGTGCAATGGTGGTATGTCTGAACATCAGTGAGGACAACTGCACGTGTGAGATGCACGGCCTCACTCTGACAGGCCCTGGGGGATTTAGTTCTACCACCACCAAACCAGCAACACCTTCATGTAGCAGTGGAATTGCTTCAGAGTTCAGCAGTGAACTGTCTGCTTCTGAGGTTAGCAGTGAGGTGGGCTCTACTGCATCAGATGAACACAGTGCTGTTGGTCTTGATGGCAGCTTGCTACCACGACAAGAACGACGTTGCAGCCTACATCCTGTGCCCCCCTCAAGCATCTTTCAGCGCCAACCTTCCAGTGCCACCTTCTCTAGCAACCAGTCTGACAATGGTCTAGATAGTGATGATGAGCAGCCTGTGGAAGGTGTGATGACAAATGGCAGTAAAGTGGAGGTAGAGGTGGACATCCATTGCTGTAAAGGAAAGGGTCTGGAATTAGAACATCCTGCTGCAGAGTACAGCTCTTCTGCTCCAGGGCCAGAGGATGACTCTGGGCTTGTACTCATCATTCGGAGGCAGAACAGTGTAAACAGCAATACTGTGCAGAGAGGGGTTAAGGAGAAGTGTGGACTCCAAAAATCTCTTTCCACATGTTGTCTTTATGGAAAGAAGCTTTCCAATGGCTCCATAGTGCCCTTGGAGGAGAGCCTCAACCTCATTGAAGTAGCGACAGAGGCACCCAAGAAGAAGACAGGCTATTTTGCTGCTCCATCCCAGATGGAGCCAGAAGATCAATTTGTGGTGCCACATGATCTGGAAGAGGAAGTGAAGGAACAAATGAAGCAGCACCAGGAGGATAGAGCAGATCAGGAGCTGAAAGAAGAACATGCAGCATCCCTGCCAGAGGAGTTTGACACAGCTTTGTAACCCTATGAGTACTATTCCCACATTATCTATCCCAGGAAGCTCTGTTTAATAAGGGCTGTCATGCCCTCTGAGGGAGCTGGGATCTGTAAGGAGTACAGACACCTGCTGCTTCCTTAATGGAGTTGAGGAAAAATCAGGAAGGCCAACGTCGGGGCTGCCCACTTAACCACTGTAGCATCTCAGCTGTTCTGTGAGCACGCAGATCAGCAGCTGAGCTCTGTGTTAGGGACTGTCTGGTAAGTCCTTGAACCCTGAGGTTCTGCCAGCTCTGCCAGAAAGGGGCTGGTGTGTGTGTGTGTGTGTGTGTGTGTGTGTGTGTGGGGTGAGGAGGCTGCTGAGGGAGAAATGCTCAGTGTTTAGAGTCCTGTGAATATTTCTGATGCAGTGTTCCACCCTCCCCCCCAGCATCTGACTTTGTTATTCTTTGAAAGAATACAGACAGTTGCAATGAAGCTGACCTGAGAATGGTTTCCTACATTAATTGCAAGCACTTTTATTTATTGCACTTAAACTGTTCTTTTCCCTTTCAGCCCAGCACTTTATTATTTAGGGTTAGGGGAGAAAGGACTCTGCAGCAGGTATGATGTGAACTTTTCCCAATGGATGTTCTTAGGACAGTGGAGGACTCAGGGTACCAGTGTTCTGATGAGCCCTGGTGTAGGGGAGAGTGAAGGTTATGGTGGGATCATTCTGTGCAGGATGAGAAAATACATAGCTGAGTGATAAGCAGGTGCCAAACAATGCATTTTATATGGAGCACAGGAAAGATCAGCTCAGGACTGGTTGATTAAGGCAACATGTAGATCTAGTGGTTCTAGCTGCAGAGCACAGACCCACCTCAGCAGCAGCCTGGCCACCTTCATCATGGATGCTTCACAGCAGAGGCTTCTTCTACAGAAGACATGGGATAAAGCCAGGAGCTTGTGCTTGTCTCAGTGGTCAGCCAGAAGAGCCAAGCTGTAAACAGTGGTGTGCTGCTCTAAGACTGGCAGAAGTGCTCTTTTCCGTCAGCATAAACCTGTGCATTGTCAGCTGCAGTGTCTTTGCTTGCCTCTGGAAGCAGGAATCATATTCCAAATACACAGCAACCAGCATTTCATGGTATGTGCCCAGTTTGGCCACAAACAAGGTGAAACTTGTTCCTGCTTAGCCTTCAGCACAAAAGCAAAAATTAAACTTTTCATCTTATTAACATTTTTATCAGCACTGAAAAAGATGTTTAAAACAGTCTCACTAATGATGAACTGGCTAGTCTGCACTCAGAGGCCTTGTGTTTCCATTAGGATTTTTGGTGCAAGGTGCAAGTTGGCTGCTCATGTCGTCATCTTGTATAAGAGTTGTGGAGATCACTGCCTCTGTAGCATGCAGATTTGTCTTCCTTTCTGACAGAGCTGGATAGCAGGTGTCCTTGTCATGTCAGTGGTGGTGCAATAATCCTGACTGTGATGTGGCCTAGTGCCTTTTCTTCATTAATTATATATTTATGAAGAAAACTTAAACATTTCTTCTGAAGAGATCTGTAAGGCTTGAGTTGCCTATTTTGGGATCAAATTTGGGCCTTGCTCAGAAGGAAATACTGTGCAGACTATTTGTGGAATTCTGTCAATATAGATCTTTTCACAAAATCTAATGGAATTTTACTGAGATTTCAGAGCACCTTGAATTTCTTATCACTAGGAAGAAAAGGTATTTCTATCATGCATGAGGAGGAACATTTTAGGATATACTCTGTGCTAGTTGCAGTGTAATCATGAAACAACCCAAATTTTTGCAAAGTTTAAACTCTCACAATTTTGGTTGTTTAAATGCCTCTTTCATTTGGAACTGGAGGTTGAAGCTAATTCTTAAAATCACAGGAACAACACTATTTGAATCCTTTAGGCAGATGAAAAGCAGCAGAAAAGATTCAGATGCTAAACACCAAAACTCTTTCATGTTATCATCATATAAGTATGCAGGAGAAGTAAATCCCAAATGTTTTCAACTGCAAGTTTTGATTGTCACTGGTGATAATTTTACCAAATATCTGTGCCTAGCCTCACAGTTTCTGATACCTGAAAGGGCTGTAGAACAGCCTCCATTCAGTATGAGACTGATGCAGAAACCCTTATTTCTGAGTAAGACTCTGAAAAGCCTTGCATGTGAGTAGCATGTATGAATGAAAATCAGTTCTCCATTTCTTGCACTGATATGGAAAGTCCAGTGTGTCCTTGCCAGTCTGAATCAGTAGTATTGCATGCAGAATTGCCACAGGTAGTTAGTAATGAATGGCTCTACCTAGCTCAGTGTTGAAGGAATAAGGAAAACACATCTATCTGCAATAGAGCATGCAGATTCCTGAACTGCACCTCTTAGAGGTAGTGGAAGAATGGAACAGAAGGAATTCCTACTTGAACTTTTTCTTCAGTGCTGTCTCTGGTTTTGAAGCAGAAAGGGAGTTTAATTACAGCCAGCTCCTGTTTTCTGTGGGTGTTAACTGTCATGGAAGACATGGCTTGTTATCTTTCTTACATTCCAGGCAGAATCCACAGATTTCTGTGAAGCTGGTATTATGGACTCCGGGCAGCACAGGCCGAGTTGACTTTACCTGTTCCAAATAGTCTTTCTCTATTTGACTAAGACAAGTGCTGGTGTCCTCAAGCAGCTTTTGCGTATTTTCCATGTGCTTCTTCCAAGGATTAAGCTTTTCCATTTCAGCCACAGCATTGTGATGCTTTTTCTCCAGTCATCCAAAATCTTTTTCATGCATTAAAAATAGTGCCTGTTCATCACAAAAAGTACTGCTTTTTCCTAGGCCAGTTTTGGGTGTCAGCAAACACACTGGCATATTTTTTTTCACGCAAATGTCTTGGATTTTCTAAACAAGATTCCTACTGCTGAGACATGCTTCAAGGTCATTGTCATCCAAAGAAAAGGGTTTTTTTCTGACATTGGTCAGACAGTGGCTGGGTTATCTTCATCTGTCTGGTGAGCACAACTCTCACAGAGTGAACAGAGTGCTTCCCTCCACTACCTTTTGTCTTCCTTCCTCCCTGTGTGTCACCCCTACTTTATTTATTAACACTACCTTAGATTTCAAGCTCCCAAGGAGCACTGCTGTATGTGGAACAGGTATGAAAGGGTGAGTTTACTGAAGGACTCATAGCAGGGTATAGAAAGTGTCTTCCCAGTTATCTTTCTCTTCTCCAGTCCCTTCCTTGATTTTTGTTTTTGGAGTTTGCAGAGATACTATGTGATCATCACATAACCACATCACTGAGAATGTCCCACTCATTTGCAGACTTGCTGTTAGAGAGGGATTCTCACCTTGAGGTCCTCAGGCTGTTTTGTCCCTGCTGAGCAATGCAAGCCCTCCCACACTGCACACAGCCACAGCCAAGGAGGTTGCTGGTCCATCTCTTCAGTAATTCTGGCTCTCCTGATAAGCATACTTGCTGAGAAAGGTACTCTGAAGGCGCTGCTCTGTCCTGTCCAGAAAGGCTTCTGTAAAAGGAACCCATAAAGGTTATATTGAGTGGTGGGTAACAGGGGCTCAGGTGTTAAAGGTAAGAGATAGCCCCCACGTTGCCCCTAGAGCAAGGAACAGGCCCCAGTGGAGGCAGCATCACAGACTGTTCATACCAGACAGGAATCTTCAGTTGGATGGGAGGATAACATCCTGTTCCAAGAAGAAGGAAGTATTCCCCTCTCTCAGGGACAAGCTGCTGTGAAGTCTGAAATCTTTCCTGTATAGTACACAGGACCTTCAGTCACACGTAAGGCTTTGGACCTGTGGGGTTTCTGCACTCCTTCCAGATAGATGCTGGTGGCTTTTGTGTCACTTGCCAAAGGCCTTTCTTCAGGCAGATCTCCTCTTTGGTCTTGTGCAATCATTGTCTGCTGTTCTATTGCTCTCTAAAGACTCAACTGTACTTTTCCTCTTTTTTCACATTTTAAAATGTTACCTTTTTTAAATGATTCATATGATCTGGCGCATGTTAAATATTGCAGTGTACCACCTGTTTACTAAATAATCCTTTTTCATGGTTTTTTTTTGTTTTTAAAAAGGAGAGTATTTTCAGTATCCCACTCTAGCATGCACCTATAAGGATCCCTGTTTTTATTGTGTGTGGGAGTAGGTTGTCTAATGAATGTGCCCTCAGCACTGTGGCCTGTGTATTGCTTTGGAAAGGCAAATAACGTAAAACACTAGTCCATTGAGATGTATAGAAAGGTTCAGGGAGGAAGAGTATTTTTGCATTGAATTTTCAGCTGACTTAGCAATAAAGGTTTTTACTTTCATCTAAGAGCTTATTCTGATTCTGTTACTGTGCTGGAAAAAATCTCTGCAATATCCCAGTCAAAGGTGGCTGTGTCTAGCAGCAGCTGTGCTGTAGGTTATTCACTGCGCTCTGTGTGCTATTTCACTCATCAGCCTTCCATACAAAAACTTCTTTCAGAACACTGAGGGTAGAATTAGGCTTACCAATTATTAAGGCAGCTTTGTTTCCTGCTAGAGGAATGCTGCCCTGTGAACTTGCTCTCAATAGCACTGTACAGCTCTAGAAGTAGCTGCAACAAGAGGAAATACAGAAATGTTAACAGAAACAGGACAACAATGGACTGTCCACGTAAATCCCTGTGCTGAGACACTTGATGTTAAAAAGCAAAAAAACCCTGAACTAAAAACAAACTAAATCAAACAAACCCCAAAGCAGCTAGTGTGTTCCTACTTGGCATCTGTTTTACTTTAGTGTCTCTAGTTCAATAGTGTTCCATGGTTTTGGTAATTGTGAGGATTTGGTCACTGGTGCCAGTGAAAGAAGAGCTTACATATAAGGCAAAGCATGTTTCTAGTATGTTTAGTTTTTTTTTTAATATGGGCAGAACTCATCTGTGAAACTACAGCAGTTCCATCCTCATATGAACAATGCACACAGTGGACACTGCTCTGAAGTGGCATTTTATTTTAAGACATGAGTTGGTGATTCTAGTGCTACTTTTCCCAGTTAAATTTCCTATAAGTTTTTCTAAAAAAAAAATTAGGAGCAGCGTCTCATTTCTCCAACTTGTACACTGAAAATGTATTTTGAAAATAATATACTTCTATATTCAATCACCCATTTGATCTCATAAAGCTTTTGTCTGATTATCCCAATCCAGGACATCTTTTTAAGCAAAACTCTTGTATACAAGTCATATAAAAAGACCATTTCATACATAAATGCACCCTCTCCTGGAGTTTGAAAAGGCATTTTATCACAAGTTTGACTGAGTTTGAGAGGTTTTTTCAGGATATTTTCATGGCTTTGTAAATGTCATGTTCACAGTGGTCTGTTAATTCCAAGAGACCTACAAGGAAGCAATATTTAATTGTCACAACCATGGGCCTCAGTCACTTGTTTTTAAGAGCTCTTTTCTCAGCAGAGTCACATGCCTTTTGTAGACAGTTTCAGCTACAAAAAGCTGTTCATTGACAAAAGCATGTAGTGGCAGTACTTGTGGCAAGGCCTCACTGGAGAAGAGGGCACCTGAGAGTGGCATGGAAGGGCTGCCTATGAGGCCGAGACAATCCATTGCATCAGCTTTGAGCCACTAATAACTCAATAATGCAAATTCAAGTTACCGCTAACCTGACTCTACCATATTTAGAGCTATGCTAGCTTGGTGAGTGTTCTGTAGCATTAAGGCTGTGCTGTCCAGAAGAAAGGAAAGCATACTGCTTCATCTCAGTAAGACTGGCAAAAATCAAGACTATTACTGGAGTGGAAGAATCATTTGAAAGTTCTTATAATTGCAGTGGCTTCTGTTTCTGTTCATGAACTGTCCTGTAATCTCTGACAGCTAGGCCTGCACTGAGCAGGTATGCCATGGCAGCCATGCAGCCCAATAGGCCGGCAGCAATCTCTGCCCCATGCAGGCTGCACCAGAAGCCCTGATAGCCTTTGCTCTGATAAAGCTGCTCTCTCTCTTTGCACACTGATGAATTATAAACGCTCAGCAGAGAATGGAGGAAATAGTACAGAGCAGGCACAGTGCTAACTGCAATCACTATGTACAAGGTGCATTCAATCAGCAGCCATGCTGGGAAGTGCCACGGGACCTGCAGAACACTAACCAAAATTAGAACACAAGGGAAGACCAGGAGACACCCACCCACGACCATCGCTGCCCTTGCAATGGGCAGCTTCAGTAGGTAGAAACGTTGGTCAAGCTGCTGGGCTCGCTCCCCCTCCGCTCCGCCGAAGCCGCTGTAGGCCCCGCCGTACTGGTAGTAGTAAATGCCCCCCAGGGCGGGGAGGCCGGTGTATCCTCCCGCCGAGCCACAGGACACGGAGCTGCAGATCAGGATCAGGACGGCGAGCAGAACCTCCACCATCTGGCAGCAGGCTGGAGGGGAGGCCGAGGTGAGTCTGCGGCCGCAGAGGAGCGCCCGGGAGGGAGCCGGGCCAGCCGCTGCGCTCCGCAGGACAGAGGGAGCGGCTCCCGCCGGACGCGCTCACCCCGGCCCGTGTGCAGGTACAGGCAGTGGCGGCGCTCCAGCGACCCCGGCACGGTGCGGCTTCCTCGCGGCCCCTCTGCCTCTGGTGCGGCTACGGCGCTAAGGAGAGATGATGGCAGGGATGGCATTGACCCGTCCAGGCCCCTCGCTGCCGCCAGCCCGGTCCGCTCAGCCCCGGCTGCGACCCGGAGCCCGCGCGCTGCCCGCCCGCTGCCCTCACCGCCTGCTGCCCTCACCGCCCGCTGCCCTCACCGCCTGCCCGCCCCGGCACGTTCCCCCCGCGCGGCACGGGGGCAGCCCCGCTCCGCCATGGCCCGGCGCGGCCCCGCTCCGCCGGCGCTGGGGCCGGGGGGCCGGGCCGGGCCGCCCCGGGGTACCGCCGGCGCGGTGAGCTCCGTCTCGTCCGCTCGCCTCCGCCCCGCCGCCACTTCTCTAAAGTGGTGGAAGCTCCGACCGGGCTAGGCCCTGCCCCGCCTGAAGGTGCTCAGCTCCTCGGCGCAGGTGCGCGGTTTTCCGGCACCTGCGCAGGGTTCACCAGCTGCTGGGATGTGTGCCCGCTCCCCTTCGCTTCCACGGACACGGTCCCCGCAGCCCCTTGTGGCGATAACGTCTCGGGGTTTCTCACCTACCACAGAACATGCTTGTTAGAATCCACTGGAAACTGACTAAATTTATCTAACTAAATTTTCACAATTGTACAAGTTCTGCCTTTTCCTGTGCTGTGAGTTTTGGTGAGTGTTCTTAATTCAGTTTTTCTGCCACCTCGTGCCTCTGTAAACTTCATCCGTGCCTCTCTGTTTCTTATGCAAACCCACTCCCAGCTTCTCTGGGCCTGCCCTAGCTCCCCTAAACCCATCCTGTGAAGCAGTGTTTGCACCTCTATGCAGCATTCAAGACACAAGTGCGCTGGCAGTTTACATCAGCAGAGCAACTGTCTGTCTTGTCCTGGCAATGCACAGCATTTTGTTGCTTCTCCAGCTGCGCCAGCACAGAGCCTGTGTCTCCAGATACAGTCACTAACACCGTGGGAGCTGTCCTGCAGTGCAGCTGTGAGGTTCCAGTTCAGCCCTTGGCAGACCATGATCAGGTAATTTTCTTTAGATATGTTATTTTATATTTAGCCATACAGAACGAAGTAGACCCCTTTTGTGTCTTTTTGCCAGAGGCCACTTCAGACTATATGATGGGACCTTTTTACTGACGATAATGTCCTGCTGCCCTCTGTCTGTCCTCCCATCCCGGAGGGAGGAGACCCCTTAGCACAGCAACCATCACCTTCCAGCAGAGGAGGTGATGAATTATTCCTGTGGTTATTGGTGATGGCTGGAGCAAAGGCAAGTCAGGATCTCACCCATACAAGTGTCAGCATTTCTCAGGACTGGTAAGGGCAGAGCTGATTCAGGAAAGGGAGAAAAGTAAGGACAGCAGGACAATTTGAAAATACAGAAAACTCCACATTCAGGCAAATGCTTTTATTCAAGAGTTTGACCAAACACTGTCTGTAAAAGCTCTTTGCTTTTACAGCAAAAAAATTGCAAAGACATACTTTCATTACGTTTAGGAAAACACATTTTTGGGAAAACAGTCACACTGTAAGGTCTCAGACACAGTACCTGAATATGTGCCATGAGAGGCAGACATTCCAAATTTGTCTCTAAAATGCAGAAATACATTTCCTCCATCTGCAAGGCTGGTGGCAACAGACTGTTTCACCCTTCTGTCTCTACAGGAGCAACAGCAATAACTCTATAGACTTATATGGTGAAAAGCCAAAAAACTGCACCTCAGCACTGTGGGAAAACACTCTCCTCAACACTTCACCTGATTCCACAAAGTTCTGGAGATCTGAAAATGCATCTTAGAATTTACTTAGGTTGAAGTAAGACAGAAGGAAAACAAAAGAACCATTGTTTCAAAGCCCAGGTCATACAGAGGGGACAGAAATTGTGTGCAAAGTTAGAAAATGGAGAATCCATAGGGAGCTTAGGACGAGCAGTCTGGAGATAGTGCAGGTGCTCAGCTGTGACGCTGTTGCACACAACCTTTCATCAGCATATGTTGCATCACTCATGTTGACGTGCCAGAAAGCAGGCCTCCTTGCTGGATGGGTTTAAAAATTTTAGCAACCCTTTGTGAACTTTCAGGGTCATGCACAGTGCCATTTTTCTTAGTAGAGCTTTTGACTGAAAGGGACATGAGGAATTAAGCTGAATAATCATGAGTCACAAGAAGGGATGAAATAAGTGTTTCTTATGCAGAGTGTTGCTGCTGGTCATCCAATAAACTGAGATAGAGCTTTCTTTGGATTTGTCTGTGATTCACTTGTTCAAAGACAGAGGCAGGAAGTATTGCTCTGTTGGAGATGTGTTCAGTGTTTTACTAGAGTGTTTGCTGCTAAAAAGTGAAGTATGAGCTTCAAGATACCACAGAAGTGAGTCAATCTTTTTAAATTTCTGTTGCTATAATGAGAAATCTTACAAATACTTTGTGTCACTTCACTCCTGCTCAAAGTACTGTAGCTGAACTCAGTCAGCATCATCTTCTGGGTTCCTGTTTTCACTGCAACAAATACCAGTCAGCAGAACAGAGCAATAGGAAGTTGAGGATACCAGTATTAATCTTCTCCACTGTTTAGGCTTCTCTTTGTAATTTTTTATTATTATTATTTTTGGCTTCTTTGTTTCTGGCTACTTCTGGTATCATTGCTGTGCTAAGGGGAGGAATGATGTGGTTTGGCTTGCCATGGACCAAGAGCTCTGACCTGGTTCAGTGCCCTCCCTGGGAACTTGGAGGGTAAAGTGGTAGGAGCAAGTAATGAACTGCCTCATATGTCTCCAGTTTGAGGCAGCTGGGAGCTGCAGCACAATCGCTGCTGAACACCACAACCAGATTTATTGACTGTCCCACATAAATAAATAATCACAGGGACAATGAGTGCAGCATAGTGACGATAGAGCAGTACTGTAGAAAAGAACTGGAGGTTACTGTGAATGACAAACTGAACTCAAGTCCACAATGTCATCCTGTTGCGAAAAAACTAACATTTCTAGGGTGTATGAACAGGAATGTCACATGTAGGACGTGTGAAGAAATTCTTCTGCCCCCACTTCAGACTGGCTTGGCCCCAGTCTTGCACACTGTGTTTCCAGAGGCGAGTGGATCAGCTGGAGGGGATTCAGAAGAAAGCAAAAGAAATATCTAGAAACACAACCTGTGAGAAAAAGATTGATCACAGGCATCTCATTTCAAAAAACAAGCATCTGTTAACAGCTTGCAAGCTTGTTAATAGAGAGGTGTCTAGACAACTTGCAAACTTGTAAAAAACTCTTGTGAAGAGCAGGGAAATATTTTGTTCACTCTGTTTGCTGTTGGCGTGGTCAGAAAACAGAGAGCTTAGCTTGAAGCAAAAGGGATTTATTTTAGGCACCCTCAATGTTTCTCACACACACTCCAACTCCACCATTTTATAAGGAGATGAACAGTTATTGCAGGAGTGGATTAGTCAGAAGATGGTAGGTTTCCATCCCTGGGGCTGTAATTCAGTCCTGAGAAGGCTAGCCTGTCTGTGTTCTTGTGAGAAGGAAGTGCCGGTGCTGCCCACGCCACCCACTGTAAGCGCGCAGTGTCATCTCACCCCACAGAGCCACTGTGCCTCTTTCCGCACCACCCCCGGTAGCTGGTCACTGTCCCAGGGGCTGCAAGGCCAGTGGAGGACAGCTGCTATGACATATCATGCAACAGCTCAGGTCTCTGAAGTTGTAAGTCAAACACAGAATATTCACTTACCTGGATAATATTTACCTGGATGTAAACAGACACAAGTCTGGACAAGATGTTTTCTTTCACTGTGCCTGTACTCAGGAACCAGCAACACTCACACTTTGTGGAACATTCTTCTCAGCATCTGTAACAGGAATTGCAAGTCTTTCATCGTGGCTGTTTGGCCTGTAGCTCACTGGTGCTTCCAACTCCCCACAAACCTGGAGTGCACTCTGTCTATCAATGTGCTGGCTCTGGACCCAGTGCCCAGGCTGAGCAAGCAAAGGCTCCTGTACCTGCTGGACTCTGTACACTCCCAGCACCACAGTGGTCAGAGCCTGCAGTCTGCTGAAAGGAGTAGACATAAATTGCTGGAAATTAAAGCAAAAAAAATTTTTGGGGGGGAGGGGGAACAAGTGAAGTGATTTGGTACTGACCCTGGTGGATTTTTATGCAGAGTACTAGTTGGGTGTCTGTCCCTGCACCTCCCAGTGCACCCTGAATTGGCAAAACTGTCCTTGTGTATGACCTACCTGCAGTCTGACAGAGACAGGTTTGTCAGTGCAGCAATGCTTGAGCCTGTGCTCTCCTCAAGCAGCTGTTTGTCAGTCCCACTTTGTGTCTGCAGCTCAGTCTGGAAGCCAAATTGCTTGGTTTTACTGGCTTCACCTCTGCTCACAGAAATGGGACTCTGGGAGCCTTGGTACCAGAGAAAGACAGTACCATAAAAAATGCTGAAGTTGTCACTAGTTTCTCCTTCCAGTGGGAAGAGATAAAAATCAATTGCTCAAGCTACACAAGAAAGAGGGAGCTGAAGAGGTGTGCACAAGATACCTGTGATGCTGACCTGCTGGGACAGAGAAGCAAACTACAGAGGGTGGAGGCAAGTGAGTGGGGTGGGATAGGGGCCTGACAGTGAAGAGAGAGGGCAGCCTTGCTGGCAGAAATGCATCCTGCAGGGTATGGCTGCCTCTTTCACCACACCACAGAAGGATGGCTTGGCCATATTTCTAGAACACTAATTACTGAGTTGTGTGTTCATGCTTTTGTCCTGTGAAACACTGCACAACAAGGGGTGGGAGGATAGGGGTTGCATACCCCATGTGAAAGTGTCTGGAGGAGGACTGGAGACATTCAGTGAGAGGAGAAGGGCATTGTAATAGCAGGAGAAACCCACAGGTGCCGTTGTACTTCTTTTCCCATCCTGCTTCTCACCAGGTTCTCAACATTATGTAACTGAGCCTCCTATGTCTCCAGAGCCACATTTTTCCCCACCTTGGCAACAGACTTCCACTGTGGCCTTCCCTGAACCCCACTGCTGTGTGCAGTATGACGGGTAGGGCTCCAGTTGCGTCACTTTGGGGATTGTTGCTAGGCAGAACATACAGCATCGTCCTTGAGGCCTCCCAATGCTGTGTTTAACCCTGCCAGGGCTGCAGCATGGCAAGAGATGGGGCTAGCTGAGGGAAGTGAGAAAATAACCCATAGGTGCTTGGAGAGGACCTGCATAAACTTCCAAAGGTTACTCATGTCAGGTTTCAGTCAAAAGAAGAAAGAAATTGTGCAGCCCTCAGCAGAAGACAGTCCAAACCGCTTCAATACAAGATGTTGCTCTGTGAAAGGGTTTTGAAAGGTACTATTCCTTATCCAAAGGCCTTGGGGCTTGTTGCAATGAGAAGTCTGCCCTCCAGTCTGGGGCTAAGGGTCCTGGCTAGACCTGCTGAGCACACTCCACCGCCTTCCAACCTGTCTCCAGCCCTGAATCCTCAGCCCCCATTGTGGCCTCAGAAGTGCCCATTGCAATACTGTGGTCAACAGCAGGTCATGGCTCCCCAGCAGGGCCAGCCCAGCTACAGCACTGAGGGAAGGGGCTGCTCATGTCACCTGGGGAGCCGCAGCCTTACTGATGGCTGTGTAGTGAGCATGGGTTGAATGCAAGGTCCTGTGTTCTCCAACTCGGATGCAGGTATAAACAGGTAAAATTCACAGTGACCACTGGCCTCTGCACTGAAGGCATCAGCAGTCTGTTTGCTCGAAGGTTGGCAAGTCCCTCTTGTCCCTGAGCAACTCTTCAGCCTCTGGCCACTTGCTGCCATGGCAATAAGGGAAGACTTGGAGCAGCCCTTGAAAGGCAGGAAGAGTACAAGATGGCTCTCATTTATCCTAGCCATGGAGGAATTGAGGCAGGAAGTCATAGGTTCACATTGCTTAGCAAAAGTGGCCTTCTGGGAATGGTATCATCTGTGGTTTGCAATGCCATCAAAGAGGGAAGAATCGCATAATTTCTGCTGGCTGCCAGAATTATGAGTTTACTTGGGTCTTGAAGCAACCAAAAAAACCCCCCCCCAAAAAAAAAAAAACAAAAACAAAAAAAAAACCCACACAAACCCCCCCCCCCCAAAACCACACAAAACAAAACAAACCAACCCCCCCCCCCCAAAAAAAAAAAAAAAAAAGGAAAAAACCTCCAAACCAATGACAACTTGAGCTTACTTTAATCCTTCAGGTCCTGGTGCCTCCAAAGCACTGGTTAGGGGAGTGCTTTCTTCCCTTTAGTTTATTGAAGAAGATGCCTCCCAATTGTAATCCATTGTAATGCAGCCACAAACTGGTGTTTGTCAGCTGGTGCACTGGGATCCCAGAAACTCCTGGGAGTCCTGACTTAGGTCAGGACAGACTGATGGCCTCCTCAAGCTTTACAGTCCATCAATCCACTCTCGGTGAATTACAAGGTACTAGTGCTGGAATACCTGGACCCTCTAGATTTGCCCCCAGCAGTGTTTGCAGGCTGAGGAAAGTGGTGACAAAGGATGGCAGCCTAGGCATGCCAGGAAACCAAGCTGTGTCCTTAGGCTGCCCCAGAAAGAGTTAATGCAGAGCCATGTTCCAGGTGTTTGAAGTGACTACAATTGCAAAGGGGAGGAGAGGTCATTTTTGGGTGGGGAGAGCAGCCCTCTCTGTGGGCCAATGGCTAAATGATTCAGTCTCAACGCCCAGTTTTGGGGATTATTTCATGGGCAAAAATTCACAGGACTTTCCTCTCAAGGGGATTTGTCCTGGATGAAAATTAGGGACTGGACCCCCAGACTTGCTGTCTCCCTGTCTGTGCTGTAGAAGGTAAGGTGCTGTGTTCTGGTGCCTTGCTTCTTTCAGGTGGGTAGTGGGGAGTTCTTCCCTGGCTGCCTACACTGAAGGTATCTATTGTGCCTGTGTCTACAGCTCCTCTTTTTAGAAGAGCCATGTTGCAGGGTGGTGTAAGGGCTCTGCTAGGATAGACTGTGTATTTGGGACACAGCCCAGCAGCTGAATTGAGATACGTGGTTCATTTCTAGACTCAGTTTTTTGTGCAGCCCTGCTGTATATTTCTTCAGCTGACTTTCTTCTGATGGAAAGGAAATGCAGAAGGTTTCAGCAGAAAAGCTGAAGTCTTGCTTTATGACCCTGTTAGATCAGCCTGGGTTGCTATAAATGGCCTAATGCATTGCTGGTAGAGTAACTGCAGCAGCATGGGGCATCTCTAGGTGCAAACTTCACTGAAACAGTGAGAAATTTGTTCAGATAGCACATCCTGTGTGAACCAAGTAACACTACAGCCCTCCTGGCTCAGTCTCTGCATCAAGGAAGGGGAGCTGTGCTGTATCTGCGAGTGTGGGACTATGCAACTACCATCAGGAAAGGGCCACTGTTTACTGACTTGCTTTTCAGTGGAGCAGAGAAATAGGACAGAATAAGCAGTTTGTGGCAGGATTACAAGGTAGTGTGCCAGTATTAGCAAGAACAGACTCTGTGGCTCAGGGGGTCTGCCTCTTCTGTGCCCTATCCCTAAGCTGCAGGTAGAAATCCCTGAGTCACCATCAGTTTGTAAGTTAGGCTTTTTCTGCCTAATCTAGCTTGTGTTCTGGGTATAACATGCTGGGATGTGTAAGTCACTTTTGTGTCCATTTCTGGGCCTTGGAGGCAGCTGTTCCTCTGCTGTGCGTTGCTTTGTACTCAGGTTGAACTACAGACTCTTTGGGGCAGTGGTGCCTTCTGGATTTCCCTCTTGGCCATATCAGTCTTGCTCCATTTCCTAAGCATTGCCTTTTGCTCTAGGCTCTCTGGACTGGGCTGTTCTCTGCCGACAGAAGTGTCTAACCTCTATCCTGCCACTGCCCAGTACATCCTGATAACACTGAAGAAGAACTACCTTCTTGGCATCTGATATTTGATTTGTAGTGCTGCATTTCTGTCTGTAGACTGGAGGATCATACTGCATATGAACGCACATAGTGGGCCAGCCCTTGTGTTTGCAGGTTGAGGTGTACAAGTTGATAGCTGGGGGGAGAAAGTGGGTGACCTGGTCCTTCTGTCAGTGGACTATTGAATCTGCAGTCAAGCAGTGACTACAACATGCTGCTAATTCTTGGCTTCTGGCTTTAGCGTGGCTTTTTCCTCCTCAATGCAGGAGGTCTACCATGCAGGGGTGCAGCTAACACACAGAAGTGCCCTAATGCTTCCCACTGTATTGCTCTCTCACTTATGCATGGGGTTTCACTACATCGTGGCACTAAATAGGGCCCTACCTGCTGCTGCTGCTGCTTTGTCCATAGGCAGTAAGTAGTGTCTACAGCTTTTGGAAGTTTTACTTATGGGCTGCATCCCCAAATGCATCCCTAGACAAGATTCCTTGTTTGACATGTGTTAACTAAGCCCAGGAAATTCACTTTGCACTGACAGCTCTCAGGATGGACTCGTACCTGATCCAAGTGAATGGCCATGGAGATCATGCCCCTGTGCTAGATGTTCATCTCAAGAACACTGGGAACACCATATCACCAGGGAAGGTGAAAGGTCGGAAGCCAAGATGGGCTGTCAGGGCTTCTGAAATGTCAAAGAAGACTTTCAATCCCATCCGAGCTATTGTAGACAGCATGAAGGTGGAACCCAACCCAAAGAAAGCCATGATCTCCTTATCCTTAGGTGAGCATAGTCCTGTGGCTGAAGCCTCCAGGTATTTGGATCAACTGTGTGGCTGACAGATGACAGGGCTCTGAAGCACAAAGTTTGTGTGAACACCAAGGGATAGGTCAGACAACCACACAGCTCTGTGCCTGTCACAGATCAGTGAGAACTTTACTGTTTTTTCAATCTTTGAAAAGGAGACCCGACGGTCTTTGGAAACCTTCCCACAAATGATGAGGTCACACGGGCTGTGAAGGAGGTTTTGGACTCAGGACAGTACAATGGTTATGCTCCATCTGTTGGTAAGTTGACAAAGCCCATCCTGTGAGAGCTGGATGAAGTCATACGCCAGGTTCTACCCCACAGCAGGTATATGGAGCCCACAGACATCTTTCCATTAGCACCCTACAGTTGTTCTCACCAACAGTCACATGAACACACAGGTAAGTGTATGCCCCAGATACACCTGTGTGCTCTCTCCTGTGTGGGCTGTTTGAGGCCCAGAGATCCTGCAGAAGCTGTTTGCTGCCCCAGCCATTGGGGCAGACAGGATATCAAGAACCTAGAAGAGCTTGGGTACTGTGTGTCCCTGCCATGGGTCATAGCCAAGCTCCTTTCTGATCTGCCTTAACCAGGAGTTCTCTTGGGCTCCCTGACTTCACTGACACCATCTTTTGGCACACATGAAGTTAGTGCCAAAAGCATGCACAGAGCATAGATCTGGCATAGAGTGGCATCACTAAACAATGAAAGCCATGCCTTGGCTTCCTCTGGCTCAGAAAACTCTCTGGCTACCTTGCACTCTGCTCCTGTCAGTTCTGTCCCTGGGACATACTGGGGTCTGAGTTTGCCTCCCTGCCCAAGGTTTGTCCCTGCTCTTGGCCATCCTGGCCCAGCCTTGGGGCTGCATGGTGCTTGGCCTGAGGTAGGACAGTCTCTGCCACCAAATGGGCTTTCCCCACCTGGGCAGCAGCTGTGAGCCTTGTACTGGTAACAAGAAGGAAGGAATCTGTAAAAACCTCCTTTCCATGTCTGACTCGTCTTTCCTCAGGCTATCATTCCTGCCGGGAAGCTGTGGCTGCATACTACACCTGCCCGGAGGCACCGCTGAAGGCCCAGGTACTGGTGCCCAGCCAAGGCACTCCCACTGCAGTGCAGACAGGGTGCTGCTGCCTGCAGACCATGGGGGCCCTACCCCAGCTCTCCCCGCCTGCCAAGTTATGCGACTAAAGGCTAGTCAAATCACCTTGTCCCAAGGTGGCCTCCTGCTGCTCTCATCCCTTCCTGGAGCCCTTCACCTCCATCCTCCCCAGGAGGAGGTTTTTCTTTTCACCAGCTGAAGTTTCCCTGCTTTCAGTCAGGCCCTGGCACTGTCTTTTTTGGCTGAGAAGTTCTCCCTGGCAGAGCTGAGCCTGGATGTTATGTCACTCCTGTGTGTGCAGAGTGCTTCAGAGTGGTTGTGCTTCCCACTGACCTCTCTGTGCTCTTTGCAGGATGTCATCTTAACAAGTGGCTGCAGCCAGGCCATAGAGCTTGCCTTGGCAGTGCTGGCCAACCCAGGCCAGAACATTCTGGTGCCACGGCCTGGCTTCTCCCTCTACAAGACTCTGGCATTGTCTTTGGGGATAGAGGTCAAACTCTATAATCTCTTGGTAAGTAGTGGCAGGCCTGGAAGGGGCAACCCTGACATTTCTCATCTCAGAAACACCCTGGCTCTGCCTGGGAAGTGGCAGAGTAACCCTGGGTGCCCTGGCACACCTGACCTTGTGTGGCAAGGGAAGGTGGCATGAGTAATCTGGGTGCCCTGGCACACCTGACCTTGTGTGGCAAGTCAGTTCCTTAGCTTTTACTTCCCTTTCTCTTCACTTCACTAGCCAGAGAAGGCCTGGGAAATTGATTTGGAGCACTTGGAGTCTTTGGTGGATGAGAAAACAGCTTGCCTCATTGTGAACAACCCATCAAACCCCTGTGGCTCTGTGTTCAGCAAGAGCCACCTCCAGGAGATCCTGGCAGGTGAGCCTGCCTGTGTGTTTCTGGGGCCTGGGGCATGGTTGCAGTCTAGTGTCTGCCCCCATTGCTCGTGTCTCAATCACTGCAGCCCCATGGCCAAAGGCTTTGCTTCTGACTGACTCCACCTCAGGAATGAGAGCTTGCTCAGTGTGGAGGTGCTGTCTTATCACATGCAGACCATGTGTCTTCCTCAAGAGCTCTGTGTGACTTGGACTGCTCATTTTTCCCCTCTGGCTCTGCACTGGGAGTGTTCACAGGAGCCCTGTGCTTCCTTGTCCTGACAGGGAGGGCTGTGCTGCCAATCCCCACCAACTGGAGCACAACTAGGCTCAGTCAGGGCAGGGATCTCCAGTGGTCAGGCTCTCCAAATGAACAGTCTGTAGGAGGAAGATAGGGACCCTGTGACCTGAGACAGAGCTTCCCTCAGAGCTCTGCCAGGCTTTGCAGCAAAGGGCAAGTCTGTTCCCATGGAGGATGCAGGTGGCCAGGCTGAATGCCCTCTCTTCCACAGTGGCATCAAGACAGTGTGTGCCCATCCTGGCTGATGAGATCTACGGAGACATGGTGAGCATCCCCTGCAGTCCTTTCCACTCGCAATGCTGCCTGTCCCTTTTGATGTACTAATCCTTGGCCTTGGCAGCCAGGTCTCTAGAGGTGAGGGACAGCTCCACTTCCCTGGGCCTGAGTCCATGCCTGGAGCTCCCAGTCCTTTGGGGCACAGTCCTAGGGGAGCCTCTCCTGTCCAGCTCCCTTCCACTTCCCAAACAGCTTTCTTTTATGCCTGTTTGCTTACCATGCTCATACTTTGAAGCTGGAAGTTTTCACCATCGTTTTCCCATCCCTTCCCTGCATCCCTTCTTGCTAAGCCTCATGCTCACACCCATGCTCACAGTAGGAGGCAGGGACAGCCCTAACACAGTCTCTGGTCATAGGTATTCGCTGACTGCAAGTATGAACCCATTGCAAGTCTCAGCACCAACGTGCCAGTCTTGTCCTGCGGTGGCTTGGCAAAGCGATGGCTAGTCCCTGGCTGGCGGATGGGCTGGATCCTAATTCATGACAGGAGAGACATCTTTGGTAATGAGGTGAGAACCAGTGCGTTGCTGTCATGGCAACAGACTTGCAGAGTCTTCAGTATGTGGATCACCAGGTCTTTAACTGTTACAGGCAGGTACTTTTGCTCTCATGTAGGTGTCACCCAATCGTGTTTACCTGCTTTTCTGCCCCTCTTTCATGTCCCTTCCTTACTCCATCTGCTCCCAGACATGGTCTTCTACCCACATCTACACTGTAACTCACTCCGTGTCTCTCCTGCTCATTAATGTATGCCTTGTCCTTTTTCTGTGCTTCTAACTTCTCAGAGGGCTCCAGTGTGCACTGAAAGTATTGCATGGCTTATCAGGCATGTGCAGTCCATGTGTGCTCTCTATGTGCTCTTACATGGTTTCTCTTAGAAGTAAGAACAAAGCACCTTGCAGTGCTGCCAGTACTTTACCTGGCTATTTTTCAGCAGTGTTACAAGGACAACCATCTACTGCAGTGACCTTTCCACCTAGAAGGCTCTCTGCAGAGGAAGAGGGAGAAGAGAGGACCAAATGAGTGAGCAGAAAAGCTAATATTGATTGTCCTTACCTGGCTTTGAAAGTGTGGAATGTGGGCACAAACCAAAGGGAAATGCAAAGTTGTATTTGGAACAGCTCTGGCTTTACTTGTATTATCTATATTCCAGCCTGGTTTGAGTCAGATTGGGAAGCTCCAAAAGTTGTCTCTGTTGGCATTTCAATCTGCAATGGAGGAACAGAGAATGACACTGTAAATAGTCTGCTAAACCTGGCATACAGTCAAACAAATGTTCTTTAGTACTTTGTATGCTCACTGAAGAGAAGGGTGTGAACAGCTGTAGAAATACAGGAAGTGAGCCTTGGAGCTGTTCCTTTCCTTTAGGGAAGCATAATCTAAGCTGCAAAAACTATGTTTTGTCAGATCAGAGACGGCCTTGTGAGACTGAGTCAGAGGATCCTAGGACCCTGTACAATTGTCCAAGGAGCTCTGGAGCGTATCTTGCACCGAACACCACCTGAGTTCTATCACAACACCCTAAGCATCCTCAAGGTAAACAGGCTGTTATAGATCAAGAAGGGCTGGTCACAAATTGTTTGGAGGGAGTCCTTTTTCTTTAGTTCATCATTCTTCCTCCCCTCGTCCTCACTTGGAGGTGCAGTTTTGTCTGTGATTAGGATGACTCAACAGATGAAATTCCAGCAGGAGACATTGTAATGGGCAGAAGTAATGACTGTGGTAACGTTCAGGCAGCCTACCTCTGCAGCTGTAGCTGCCATCAGGGGATGGAGTTTGGCACTGACTTTCTGAGCTCAGCTCAGTAACACCTGCTGCACTCAAGGCCATGATCTCCCATACTGTTTGCATTTGTTGTCCCTTTATTTACAGTAGGCAAACCTGTTCATAGTCCCAGTCCAGAATTTGGCTTCCAATCATTGACCTGTTTTCTAGAATTTCTCCTGTTTTGAAATTTCTCCTTCTTGCTTTTCAGTCTAATGCTGACCTTTGTTATGCTGCCTTATCAGCTATCCCTGGCCTTCAGCCTGTCAGGCCTGCTGGAGCCATGTACCTGATGGTAAGTGAGGATTGCCAACACTCACACTAGGTCTGTTTGCCAGAGCTAGTCAATGTTTCAGATTGGTACTTGCTACCAGGTCTCCGTTTACTGTGCAGTTTCAAATTGCCCTGTGCCGTAAATGCATCCTTTGGTCACCTTAGAAGGCCAGGATATGCTGTTAACTGCTCACAGAGCAGAGGCTAGTGCACTTAACCCACTTGCTTCTGCACAGAACTCCATGATTTTTCAAGACAAGGCTGTTTCACCTGGATATGAAGCCTGCTGGCAATTGGAGGCCCCTATTATAAAACAAGGCAGAATATCATACCTCCTGTAGAAGATGGAGCCTTCTTCATACTAGCATGCCGGTCTTCTGCCTGTGGTGTTGCCTTTTCTTCTGCCTTTTCCTATGCCTGTTTGCTTTAAAGTTTATAATGTGCTAAAATTTCCTTTTTCATCTAATCAAGCTCAATTGAGAAATTTATGACACTTTGACACATTTGAATTTTTTTCCTTTTATTTTGTTCCATTTCATAATGTCTCCAGTTTTTCATTCACTCTTAAAATGTGGACTCTGAACTGGACAATACGGCAGTATATGTCTCACTCATTTCTATAGAAAAATCCTTATCACTTGACCCTGTTTCAAATTTTACTCAGAGCTACATAGGTCATTTTGCTTATGCTTTTTAGGTAGAGGCACAGCTCTAAGATTCTTTCCCATTTATTGTATTTCTGCAGTGGCTGGCCGTCTATTTCTAATTAAATCACGTGTTTATTTTTATTTTCTACTAGCTCTTTCAGAACTTATGTCTGCAAAGTATCTCTGAAATTACCAGTTTAAGAATATTTTCATGAGATTTTAAAAATCTTCTTTGGTTGTAAAGGTCAGTCTGGATGAGGCCCTGAACAAGCTGATCTAGTGGGTGGCAGCCATGCCCGTAGTGGAAGCATTGAACTAAATGAGCCTTAAGGTCCCTTCCAATCCAAACCATTCTGGGATTCTATAAACAAATGGCCAGAATAGCAGTGTCTTTATGTGAGAGATGGACAGCTGCCTTCTTTCCAAATACAAAAAAGAAATATTTATTGAAGATTTTACCATTTTCGTGTCATTTTACCAATTATATCATCCTACAAGGATTTATTTTACTCATAATATTCTAGACCTTGCTATATTTCTTTCTTTTTATTTTAAACCAAAGCATTAGTTTTTTTTCTTTCATGACAGGATTATTAATGCATATTGAGTTCTCTACCAAGCTTTGTCTCGATGTCTTATTTATTCCTTTTCACTTCTAATTGGTTACCATGTCTTTTCTATCAGGTGTTTTTTTATTGAAGCAGCATTTAACTGAAATTCCATCTTGAGGTAGTTAATGAAGGCTTTTTCAGAAGCCCAGGTTTTGGTTTTTTTTTATGTTTCTCTCAGGCAGCCCAAATCATAAGCAAAAATTGAGGGCAGACAGTTGCTCTTGACTGGGAAGTCACTGGGCCATATATGTAAACAAGGACGCTGTTTACATATATGTAAAACTAACTGTAGATAGTTTTGGTGCCCTTGATTGCCATGTTACATCCCTCTGCCGCAGGTTGAGATAGAGATGGAGCATTTTCCGGAGTTTGAAAATGATGTGGAGTTCACTGAGCGACTCATCTCGGAGCAGTCTGTGTTCTGCTTGCCAGCCACGGTGAGCCTAACACTGAGAGGCCCAAGGAGCTGCGACGTCAAAGCAGGGTGGGAGAAACTGTAGGGGTTTGCATCCCTGAGCTCTGAGGACAGGCTGGGAGTTGTGTATGCAAGTGTCCATAGTAATGTAATAGCGTGTAGGAGCTGGCTGTCAGCTCCCCGTGCTGTGTGTGGCAGTCTCTGGCTCACTAACAGCCCTCAGTCAGGCTGCCAGGATCTTCCCAACTCCAGACTTGCCCAGTATTTCTCAGCCTGGCAGAGCTGTATCCCTGAAATCCATATACCCCACACTTCCTTGCTGAAGGTGCTCCGTCAGAGGAGTGCTCCCACCTGTGTTCCTTTCCTCAGTCTGTTTCCAGTCCCTCACCCCTCCAGACACAGGGAAGGCTGAGAACATCTGTGCCTTGCATTCACTTCCAACATTGAATATGGACAGGGCCTTAAATATTCTCCAGCCCTCTCCTTTGCTGACTCCTTTCAGCCCATTCCCTGCACAGTCTGGTCTGCACAGTTCACACAAAGTCCTCTGGCCTGTCCCCCTCACAGCATCATGTCTACACTGATGGAGGTGGGAGATTTGCTTGGAACAGGAAAAATGGTCTAAGGCAGCAAGAATCAAGCCCTCCTCTTCTACACTGACTGTATTCATGTGCTGATGCAGCTCATGGTGCCAAGGCAGGGCTCTAAAACTGGCACTATCCCAGGTAATCTGCCAGCTCCATCTTTTCTCATTTCAGTGCTTTGAGTACCCAAACTTCTTCCGCGTAGTGACCACCGTGCCCGAGGAGATGATCTTGGAGGCCTGCAGTCGCATTCAGGAATTCTGTGAGATGCACTACCAGGGTGCTGAGGGGGCCCAGGATCTGGAGTGTGACAAGTAGCTACAGTCGGGCCCCTGCCTCTGTCAGGCTAGACCTTGTATGAGGCAGCAGCTGGGCAGGCAAGGCTGCTTCCAGCCAGCCCCACCTCTCCCTGCCTGTAAGCAGCCACCGTCCTGCTGCTTCACTTTTTGTGCTCCACAGACTCCTCAGCATTATGGAAAGAGGAAGACACTTCTCTCTCCTCCTCCACTACAGCTTGCACATCCTCTTGCTTCCAGTCCCCCATGTCTCTGTAGACTCAGCATCTGTGCCCTGTGTTGGTCTGTGCTACCTGTGAACCAGCTGCAAGCAGGGGCAAAAGGTTGTTCCTGGGTTGGGCCTGTGGCTCCTGTGTTGGCCACACTTCCCCTTGGGGACAGGAGAAGGCTGCTGTCCTGGAGGATAAGAGAAAAGTACCCACCTCTCACTTCCCTGTGTTACCTTAGGAGGCCAGAGCTCTTTATACTGAGCCCTTTGCATGATAAAGGGAGTAAGTTATTGTAACTTTTTTATTAATAAAAATTCTGACATGGCAGTCCTGCACTGTCCTACTGTTGCGCTAGGTTAGGCTTGGTCACTGTGTGGGTCACCTTTGCTCACCTCATGGTATTGCAGTGCACCAGACATGTGCCTGCGTGCCCAGGGCCATCCTGTGTGCCGGCGGGGATATGGTGAGAGTGATTCAGACCCCCAAAGAAACCCACCAACCCTGAGAGCAGGATGGGCCCTGAAAGCTTGACCCCAACTGGAGCCAGCCCCTCCTGCCGTGATGATGTTGGCAGCTTGCTGTGGCAGCCTGTCCACTCCCCAAAATACAGTCATGTCTGCACCTTCTCCTTGGCCCTCACAGCCTCCCCCAGTGTGGAGCCCAGCAGGGCAGTGAGTGCTGTGCTTGCTGCTGCAGAGAGGCAGCTGTCCCCAGGCCTGGAGGCAGCCATGCCTAAATACTCGAGGCTTGGCATGCCTTTCCTGCTGTACTGGTGAATCATGGGGTGGCACCCCATGGCTCATACTATGTGTGGTGTTTGTGACATGCCAGTGATACCAGGGTTACTGATTGCTGAATACGTCAGCTCCATAAAGTAATAAGGAACTGGTGGCCTGCGGTTGTCTGTTTATTCAGTGGAAATGGGAGGAGATGATAATGCCCATTGCAACACATGTTCTGGTCAGATGTGCAGGTGAGATGTTCCATTTCTGGAACTATCGAAGGGGCAACTTGTGGAGTACCTTACATTGCCACCTGCAGCTCTGTTCATGTGTCCTCCCACAGGGGTGGGATCCATAGGTCAACCCTGCCTCCCCAATGACAGGAGCCAGCTCTACATTACACCTGGCCAGTCCTGCCAGGTTCCATAATGGTCTCTTTGTCTCCTCTTACCTTGACCAGTACAAAGTCTAGGTACCAGTACTCCATTAGAGGGAAGGGCTAAATGAGAAAGATAGCAGTGTATGGAAAAGTCTTTGACATGTCAACTGAGTGTCCATGCTACATCTTTTCCTTTCACAGAAAGTGATCCCAGAACAAAAAGAGAGGGAAGCTGGGGATATGAGTGAATGGTACACAGCTTCAGAGATTTCATGCCATTAGACCTTCAAATAGAGCTGAATAGCCAGAACTGCTCAAGAAAAGACATTGACAAGTAACAAGCAGGGTGGTGTATGAAGGGTGTGTTGGACCAGGAGACCTTTACAGCATGATGTTGCTGCATTGTTATGCCATCTTGAACCTACTACAGCTTTCACTTACCATCTGCTTCCTTCAACTCTTCTCCACATACCTTAGGTTCTGTGGCTTTAATCCCCATATTAAACAGATCCTGGTTTTAGAGAAAGCTGATCCTTTGAGATCACTCTTCCTTCAGGAACCCCTTTTCTTTCAGAAAAAAAGAGAAGTCTGTTAATATGCAAATATTCTGCAATAATTAACACAATCCTGTTTCTTTTTGACCCTGCCACATTTGAATGAAAAGGCTGAGAGAGCCAGAGACATAGGCATATATATATCTCATAAATCTCGGGATTTCTTAAACCCACATCCTCCATGGTCATCTTTTGTAAACATATCCTTTTGACCACACCTAGGTTTTCCCTGAGGCAATAGCAAACTAGCATTAAACCACAAATGTGCTAGTATCATTTTTCAGGTATTATACTCACAGATGCTTTGCGTCACAGTGTGGACATAGGTTAGAGCACCCTGCCAGCCATACAAACTAGCCTAAGCTGGAGTTTGAAGGTACTCTGTGCCAAAGGAAACCCCTGCAACATTGAGACCAAGGAAGAAGTCAAGACAAATCTGAAACTGCTCTTCAGAGATGCTCAGACAAGATCTGCAGAGCTTCAGCAGAGCTGCCCCAGTGGCCTTATAACTGATTTTGGGAAAATAAAGGAAGATTGGCAAGGAGGATTGTAAATACACTCAAATGTCTTGCAGGTGAAGTGTAGAAAACCACATATACTAATTGTTGTTTAGTCTTGTATGTTTGGTAAGTGGTACATCTGTCTTTATATAACATAGGCCTGTGCTAGACTTAGAACCACCCTATTGAACATGCTTGACATTCCTGCTTTGCTGTGGTAAAGATCAAATCTCAATGGTAAACTGTGCCTGTAATAATCCCTGATATACATGTGAAAACAGCAGGTTTGGTGATCCTTGAGCATGGACTAGACTCCACAGTGCTGGCATCCCTGTTTGTGTGCCTCTGCCTGGGTCCTGCTTTGAGGATTCCCTGGTTGGTGAGGTAATGGAAATAAATTTACTGTGCATTTCATCTGTGTTTTTGTGGTTGTTACTGCATGCTGTCCGTGCCGGCTCACACACCCATCCACAGCCATCCTCCCTGTCTTAGCTGGGGAGCAGCAGTGCTATACCCTGGCACAGGCCTGCATTGTGTGTCTGGCCTTTTCTGTGCTGTGTGGGCTGGCCATGTTTAGGATTAGGGTGATTTACTTCAGATATGGGGACCCAGGCAAGGAGGCAGCCTCATGTCTAGGGCTCTCTTTGGGAAATGAAGGAACTTCTCATCTTTAAGTGTACTAGTCCTCATCTTCCAAAGGGCCTGGCAGTAGGTTCAACCCTGACAGGGAAACTGGCACTGCAGGCAAGCTGAGATAAATTGCACCTGCCAGCAACGAGATCATCAGTTCCCCCAGGTGTTTAGGGAATCAGTGTAGCCTGGCTCCTGGCACTGGCCTCACCAACTCCCTCTTCAGTAGCCCTGACTGCATTCAGCTGGTCTGCAGACCAAAGGGGAGGTCCCTGAGGGTCTTCCTGCCTTGGGGCCATGGCCTTTGGCTACAAGAGCCTGTCTACACTAGCCTGTTCTCTACCATCGTGTAGCCATGCTGTACACCAGCAGTGGGAAGATGTGGTTTTTCTCTAATTTGGACCAAGGAAGCAGTCCGGGGGATGATCATGGAGGCCCTGGTGAGTCAGAGCCCGGCCCTTCCGGGAGCTCAGGTGTAAGGCCTGGGCAGTGTGTGGCAGTGGAATCCCAAGGGGAGGTGTCTGTGAAAAACTTTGTATGTGAGGCCTAGCACATAACCTTGTTCTCCTGGGGCATGCTGCTTTGTCCCGGGCCAAAGGAGCTGACCTGCTCTGGTGGCATTACCCACCAGAGGTACATACAGGTTTCCACAAGCATGAGAAGTGGCCAGGAGGAGACCGTGGATGTGAGAGGAGGTGGTAGCAGTGGGCTGGGAGACAGTACTTGCTCGAGGTGAATGGGAGGGATTTTGTAAACCAGACTGTGAGAGTGTAGAGGAGCTCTGCAGGAGAAGGAAGGCCTAGCATGGTCAAAGTCATACCACTGACAGGACAGCTACACAAGACATCCTCAGCAGGGTTCCAGTAGCTAGAAGGCACCTACCAAGCCAGCTGAGCTTAAAAACCAGTCAGAACAAGACTGAGGTTTTGTGTTGTACACTAGCCTTCAGCCTCAGTCCCCAGCACTGGGGAGAGCCTCCTGAAGGGCAGAAGCACTGGAATCTTCCTCATGGTTTGGCTGTCTGGCATGGGCTCTTACAGTGCTGGGAGCCCAGATCAATACCAGCCCTTTGCTTTGTCATACATTGTCTTTGTTTTCCTTATTTGTCTTGGGTCAGTGTTCCCTGAAGCTTTGCCAAAGCAAAGAGGTGTTGTCAATAGGTCTGAATGAGTTATTTCCTGGATACCTGACAGAAATAGTTGGTGCTAGCACAGGGTCTTCTGCACTCCAGCGCATTGCATGGGCTATTCATGCTTCAGGTCTGTTTGCTGCTGTTGTTTCTCTCCACTCTAAACTAGCTGTTCTGCTCCCCCTTCAGTTCCTGTGCTGATTTCCAGTTTTAGACTGCCTATGTACATAAAGAAAGCAGAAACTGACCAGTGAAATTAATTCAAAAGTTGAATATATCTATTTTTTTCTTACTATTTTTCGCATTTCTGTAATGTGTTGGTAAAGTATTATGTGACCTCCTTCTTTCTCTCGTGTTTTCTCATTTTCCTGTTCCCCCACCACTTGATATTAGAGTGCTGTATTACAATGAAGGCAAGAAATGATACTGCAACTGTGCAAGGGCGAGACAGTGAGATCAGTCACTATCCTTGCTCTTGCCTGACACAACTTTGGGTTCTTGTGTGCCAATTCAGACAAGTCTATTTATCTCACAATGCCTCTAAATAAAAATATAACTTTAAAACTTACTTCAAACACAAGAAAAAAGCCACAGGCGCATCAGCCTGTCCTTGCTGCCATATAGAACACCATATCAATAATTTGTTTCATTTTTCCTTGTTCTGGAAGGCATATGGGCCAATATCTGCTCTAGCTCAGAAAGAACTTGCTCTGACTGGAATTTAGCATAGGCATTGCACCTCTGCTCCTATGCATTCTCAAGCTTCTCTGACTGCTGCAATCTTTCCGTCCTCTATGAATGATGACTTCTAAAACAACCAGGGTGACTGTATACAGCATCCCTACCAAAAAAGACTCTTTTCTGAAAGCAGAATTCCATTCTGTTGCCTTCATCCCATT